GATACAGCACATGAAGTCACGCCCCCAAAAGTGCGAAGACTGGCAAGTGCGAGATCTAGCTCTGGGCTCGTTAGCAGTGAAGATGCAATATGTCTCACTGGCTGAAATCAAGACATGCGTAGATCAACAAGGCTCAAGAGAAAAGGCAACGGGAAAGGGAGGGATCCCTTGTGGAGACTGAGAATTGAGGAATACCATGGGAGGGGAGAAGATCCAAGGAAGGGGATTAAGGAAGAGCAGTGGGAGGCGAAGGAGAGAAACACAAAATTCATGCTCCTCAAACCTGAGGTCAAATGACAGCTGAGTACTAAACACAGCAGAGAGAAACAACTGAAAACAGCAGGACTAAACAAAGACAGACATTTCTAACAGAGACAAGAACGTACAGATGAGGAAGAATGGAGTGATGCAAAATAGCACCCAGCCTGGCAGCTTGTTTACATTTTGTTAATGTCAAAAAGGAAATGAAAGGGCTGGCCCTGTGGCCTAGTGGGTTCAGTTTGGTGCCCTCCGCTTCAGTGGCTCAGATCCCCAGCATGGACCTACAGTGCTTGTCAGCCATGCTGTGGCACTGACCCACATAGAAAGTAGAGGAAAGGTGGCACAGATGTTAGCTCAGGGCTAATCTTCCACAGCAAAAAAACAAAACAAAACAAAAAGGAAATGAGACAGCAGCTTGATGGGTACTGAGGAGTCTGTGCATGATTAAAGACAGAGATTAAACTACTAAGGCCACTTTTGATAATCAAGTGGTATCAATACATCTGGCAAAAGCTCCTTTTGAACCAGCTCCACCTTTCTCTTTTGCAACTTACCAGAGTCAGAAAATGATTCTACTTTTGATGAAGAACAATGAGATTACTTTATGTAAGAATATGGACAAGTTTAGACTGTGACACAGTACTGAGAGGAGAAAATGAAAATAGAAAGGTCAGAAAGGGAGACAGAAGCTAGAGCTAGGAATCTGCTCTTTAGTAGCACAGCGGCAGTCCTGGAGACAGCTGTGAAGATGAGATGGCAGGTACTAGATGCCATGGCAGATAAAGGAAGCAATGTGTTTTCACTCACTTATCACTATTGGCTATCTTGCGGAACTCTCGAACAGTCATGGCTTTCTTCTGTATGTTGTATTGAGTAAAGAGGCCAGACTGCCCAGTCACCAGCTGTTGGATGGGGGCAGGAATGACCAGATCATCAATATCATCATAGGATGTTCGTGGCTTCCACTCCTTTGGAGGAACAACCTGTAGGAAATACAAGAAACAAAGAGACAGATCAGAAACCTGGCAAGCTGAGCAGTGTCCAGAAGTGTGTAGGCAACTATCCAACCTCAAAGTCAATTTTACCAAAGTTACTTGATTTAACCACGCTCACCAAACACAGCAAGTCACACTGTCATGCTAACTCTGATCCAGTTCTGCCACCAACCAGCTGCCTAGCTGCAAGGACCTAAGGTAAGTCATGCTTGTTCTCAGCCTCAGTATCTTTTTTTTAATGTTTTATTTTATTTTATTATTTTATTTTATTTTATCTTTTTTGAGCAAGATTAGCCCTGAGCTAACATCTGCCGTCAATCCTCCTCTTTTTGCTGAGGAAGACTGGCCCTGAGCTCACATCCGTGCCCATCTTCCTCCACTTTATATGTGGGATGCCTGCCTGCCACAGCATGGCTTGCCAAGTGGTGCCATGTCTGCACCCGGGATCCGAACCGGCAAACCCTGGGTTGCCGAAGCAGCACACGCGCGCACTTAACCGCTGTGCCACCAGGCCAGCCCTCAGCCTCAGTATCTTATCTGGGCACCAACAAAGGAGGTTGAAGAGTGTATTATCTCTCAGTCTAACAGGAAGTCCACATGGGAAGCCAACTTACTATCAGAGTGCTGGCCGATACTGAAAGGAGAATAAGAGAAGCTGGATGGCGTAAGCACTCGGTGACAGACAAAAACACTAAAACCCCCATCCCCACCATGAGGATGGAAGCACCCAGCAGCTGACCCTGAGACACTGGCTCTTTACCTTCCTTTTAAAGATTCCAAGCAGCTCTCCTCCTACCTAAATGAGAGATGCTTCAGATGTTAACGAAAGGAATTAACTTGCAAATAGGACAGCATACAATCAACTCATCACCCTGCCTGGCTCTCAGTAAAAGTCAGTTCTCCCAGCCTTCATTTAGGAAAAGCCTTACTGCAGCCCTCTGCCACAACAGCCATGTGGAACAACCCCACCCCTCACCTTGGCCAGCCCAGCCCGATGAGCTCCTTGGGATTCAATGTAGGCAATGTATCGGCTGAAATTCCGGAACTCCTCCATGGTTGGATAAAAAGTCATTATTCGAGCGCTGGGATTCAGCGTTTCAGATTCAGAAGCCATTTTCCCTCCTTTCTGAGGTCACTTTGGTCAGACGGGAATCTGAAAAAAATACATTAAGAGTGTAAAATTATATAAAACGTAATTAAAATTAAATGCTGGGAATGTCAATGCTGAAAATAGTAAAAGCTGATGTAGAAATTCTGAAGAAGCATTAAGTTCTCATACCTGGAATCTGCCTCTAGATAAGCCATTTAAATGAACAAGAAACACAGATAGGAAAGCTTCTGTTTCAAAGAACCTGATGGCTGAAAATCCCATATATTCAAATCTCATTTAATTGGAGATACAGTTTCAGCCAAAAAAGAGAAAATGTAATTATTCAGTTGTTGGTCCTAACAACACAGCTGCCCCGCCCGCCCACATTTGACCCTTATCTTTTCAAGTTACTCCCTTATTCACACCTTGCTAATTGCTTCTCAGAGTATTAAACATAATATGCTACAACCAGATTTGAAAAGCAACCTATGACTCCCTTCTAGGGCACAGCTTTAAAACAGGATTGTAGATTCCTAAGAGATCTAAAGAAATCTGACTACAAGATTACATAGTTTAAGGGTTAAAAAGTACTCTGATATCAGTAGCATGAGCTACAATTTTTAAAACTTTAAAGTGAAATTGTTCTCACAGCTAAACCAAAAGGGAGTTTCAGCAGTACTTCATGAAGTCAAGCCAGCGACGAGTTCAACTGCACTGTACCCAGAACTCAAAGGACAAAATTTAAACAGGCCATAAACTGGCAATACAGGGCAAACTTCATAACTGACTGGAGAGGTGAAATAAATACTTTGTTTTTAGATGAGGCCTTCAGCTAAGTGGGTGCATCCCCATTGCTGGCTAACACAACAGAATATTTCAATAGTCTTATTTTCAATAAGAACCAAGCACACCACTTAAAAGGAGCCAGTTTAGAAGCAAAAACTGTATGCCCTTTCCTCTACTGAACACCCCAATCTGGGCCCCAAAGCCATGCCAGTTCACCTCCAAGAGTCCCCAAGAAAGAAGCAGAGCTCAGAGGAGAGGAAACTGCCTCCAACCTACCAGCAACCTAGTTAACAGATTGGGAAGACAGCATGGAGCAAAACCGTCTAAGGCAGGAAAGAAGACAACCCCACTATCTGGATCTCTCAGGCTTCCACTTCACCTAAAATAAAGTGTGATCCTGGCCAGGCGCTTTTCATGCACCTTGCCAAAACTTTGCATGGCAGGTATACTGTTATCTCTGTTTTACATACCAGGAAATTTGCCCTCAGTCGTGGTCGCGTAATGCACTGCTCGCACTGCTTCCATTACACGATGCTGCCTACATCATAATCTCTACCTAGCCTAAATCCTTTGGAAGGGCAGACCCAAGTGTGGGGGAATCTGAAGCTTACTCAATTTTGAGGACCCTCTTTTTTAAAAAAAGAATACAAAGTATCTTACTTTCACAAATTTTACAAAAACATATAATCAGATGAACACAGTGTTAGGGCCCACCCCTGGGCCTTGGAAGCCCCTAATGGGGCTTCATTCGCCTCTGGCCTTATTCATTTTTGTATGCCTAGAACCTAGAACAATGCTCGGCACAAAGAAGGCACTCAGTAACTGTTGAATAACAGACTGCCTCGTCCTCACCTCAGTTGCTCATTCCCTTTCTTCAACCCTAGGATTCCCTTCCCCCAATCTATTCCCTGGGGAAAGCTCCTGTTCCCGGACACCTTCCTTCCCCCATCCAGCAACAAAGCCTAGTGGTTTAAGAGCACCAGCTCCGGAGTCAAAACAACTCTGAATACAGATCCGGTCTCTGCCATTTATGAACTGTGTGACCTTGGCTGTGTGAGTTGCCTGAGTCTCAGTTTCTCCACCTGTAATATGGGGATCCCGACCTCCCTGCCCTGCAGGGTTACTGTGATTAACTCAGATGATGCAAGCGAAACGCTAAGCACCAGGCCCGGTACTTAACTACTCAATAAAGGTAGCTGTTGCTAACAACCCCTTCAAGCTCCCACCCCCTCCCCTCGCAGCCCTCCCGCGGGCATCTCTCCCACGGTAGCCCCGCGCTCCCAAGGTCCCCAGACCTCACCGCTTCCAGGTCCGGCCCCTCCCGGCCCCGCCGCCTAGGCGAGTGGGGCCCGACCGCAGGAAGAAGAAAATAAGGCCCAGTAGACCCGCCCCCCTTCCCGTCGTCTATTGGCCATAAGAGATTGGAAAGGACCAATCTCAGGACCCATTTTAGAAGCCCCTGCTCCCGCTGGCTAAGAACCATGCCTATCACTCACCGTTGAACGCTCCCCCCTCCGCCCCTCCCCCACCGGAGCTCACGGTCACGGCCACAAGCAGCAACAAACCTAAAGGATTGCAAAACCCTATGGTTCTCACCTAAAGCCCGCCGTCCCGGCAGGGTTAAGGCCAGGCTTCCGCTGTCGCCACTAGCCGCTCCTACTGCTCTCCCAGCCGGCTAAGGGTAAAGCTCCGCCTCTTCTAAAGTCGGCCTCTGCGCAGCCGCACAGCGCCCACAGAGTCAACCAATCCGAGGGCCGCTCTCAGCCCTCAAGAGCCAATGAGCACGCGCTGCAGCCGCCCCAAAGTCCGGGCACATCAATCTTCTCAGCCTATGAGCGCCGGCTCGGGCTGTTGCCAGGAGGAAATGCTGTACCACTCGGGACCGCGGCCACTCAGCATCTCGACTGGATCACGGAGGTGGCCAATCATAAGCGGGCTTCTGGCTGCCCATAGCTAATCAGGATTGAAAGAGGCGAGTGCCTGGAAATGGGACGATCGGCAAGGGTAAGGGCGATGAGGTTATTGCAGGAGGTTTCTAACGAAAGGGTGGGGCTGTCTTTTTGGAGTGAGTAGGGCCCTTGCCCGGGACTATCTCGGTTTTTAAAACTAAAAGTCCTGTGCCTTGGGAACCCCCTCATTTGCCTGCAAACAGGGACATTTCTTGAAAGAAGCAGTTCCTGAAGGGGAAGGAGCTCCGAGGGTCATTAGGACAGGTCCTGAGGGGGGATGTCCTTGGGGTCATTAAACAGCAGTTCCTCAGTGAGCAGGGATTTAGGGGTCATTAGGAGCAGCTCTTGGGGCGGGGGGAGGAGATCCTGGGAGTCATTAGACGCACTTCTGGAGGGTGAGGGGGTTCCTAGAAGTCATTAGGAGCTGTTCCTGAGGGGTAGTGAGTCGCCTTAAGGAACTCCCCGATTATCAAGAGTGATGGGGAAGGAGGCGTACAGGACACTCTGATAGATCAAATAGAAAAGTAGAGTATCCACAACCAGAGTCATAAAAAGTGTACAAAATTACTCATAGATGAGTAATGGTGGAGTTCACTGGAAGGAGTTATGGAGTCAGATATGTGTTCAAAACCAGTTGCTCCTCTGAGCCTGGGTTTTCCCGTCAGTAAAATGGAAAAGATAATACCTGCTTTGCAGGAACTTTGTGAAGATGAGAGTTAATATATGTTTGCAAAAAGGACGGTATTACATAGAACGGTATGGACGTAGACCAATCAGGATTTATCCCCTGGGGATGGGTACACGCTTCCCCCCTGGCCTCCCAAAAAGCAGATTTCTGTTTCAAAAAAGACGAGGGAATGACCGTTGGGTAGGCAACCAGTAGTCTTTCACAATAATTAGAAGGTTTTTGTCTCTTGACCTAGTAAGGTAATATATAGGTAATAGATTATATTGAGTAGCTCACAAAATTGCTATGAATCTGGACAATTCAACTTGCAGGATACACAACAAGGAAAACCACTTCAAATCATGCCATAGAATTCATTCACCGCTGTTCTTGCTGCTGCCACCAAGCACAAGATGCTGCAGCTTGCCTCACAACTGGGCGGTCCTGGACATGGATACAGTTACCAGCATGGCTGTCAGTGCCACTAGGCCATGAATTTGATCTTGCTACATTTCCTATTGCTGCCAAAGAGACTTTTCCAAGATAGCTGCTACTTTGTATCACTAGCTTTCAATTGGTGTGTGCATTTCACAGTGGAGTCTAGATGGAGTTCTCTTGATACCCTCCCATTTCTCTGACCAGTTTATCTCAGTCACCTTTTTTAACTCATCTTTCCTTTCCCACCTCTTAAAGGTTGATATTGGAAGCAAAACTAATTTATGGTGAAAGAAGTCAAAGTTGTGTTACTTTTGGGTAGGGGACAGAGAATGCCGGGAGGCGGAGGCAGCGTAAGGACTGCTTCTGGGGTGTGGGTAATGTTCTCTTTCTTACTCTGGATGGTGGTTATTACACTGGTGTGTTCACATTGTAAAAATTCATTGAGCATGTGAGTTGTGCATAACATTTATTGTATATGATACCTTAATTTTTAAAATTAAATTATGAATTAATTTTTTTAATTTAAATTTGAAAAAAAAAAAGAAAGAAAGAAAAACATGTTGATGTCCTAATGGCTCTCTGTCCTTTCCTCTCTTCTCCCATTCTACAAACTCTCCTTAGGTGTTTCTGGTTTCACAACCTACTAGCAGTATGACTCATGGCAACTTACTTAATTTCTCTAATCCACGGTTATAACTAAAATTGGAATAGTACTTCCCCTTCTTGGTTGTAAGAATTGAATGAGATAATGCAGGCAGAGCACTTAGAAGCTGAACTGGCATGTAATGAGTGCTCGGTAAATGTTAGCTGTGCTGAGGGAGGAGGAGGAAGAGGACGGCGGCGGTGGTAGTAATGATCCAAAGCACTTCGCATAAAGCCTGAAACAGGAGCTCAGTATACTTAGGCTCTTAGACTTCACTCACATGCACACACTGATGCTGCCCATTCTGTATACTCCAGAACAGTCTTCTCCCCTGAGTTCAGATCCATACATCCTCCTATCTCTGGCTCCCTCCCTGTGGATGTCCTCCAAGTACCTAAAACTCATATCCCCAATAAAAAGCTAATCTTTTTGCCCCACAAGTGAACTCCACCTCCCAGGTTTCCTATCTCACTTAGTGAGGCAGCCATCCACCCAATCGCCTAAGCCAGAAACCAGTAGGCAACTAGGGGCTCCGTGAGGCAGCCCATCACCTCACCCCATACGGAGTTCCACGAAGTAAGCGTTTGACAAGTGCATAGGTTTGTTTACATGTCCATCTTCCTCCACTAGACAAAAGTTTCTTAAGAGTATCACTTTGGTCTTATTGGTAGTATCATTTAAAAATGTGTTCCACTGCCAGAAATAGAAAACCCTAGCAACTGTGGCTGAAACAACTATAAGGTTATTTTTCTCACTTAAGAATTCTGAAGGGGAGCATTTATTAGCATTGGCTCAGTGCTCAACAAAGGCCCCAAAGATACAGGCTTCTTCCATCTTTCTCCATCATACTTCACAACCTGGGTTTGGCCCTTGGTTGTAAGGTGATTGCAGCAGCTCCAGACATCATGTCCACATTCATGGGGATGGGGAGGAAAGGGACAGTATCAGCAGCACCTTTTCCTCCTATCAGACCCAGCCAAAAGTCACCCAGAATCTGCCCACCTGCGGTAACGAGTGGAACAGTCTTTTCCCTGCCCTCCTGATGTTTACAATCTAGTGAGGGAGACGGGCGTGAAACGAGTGCTCACGTAAACAAATAAAATCACAAAAGTTGTGCTTGCTATGGAGGAAAACAAACCAGGGGAGAACAACTTTTAGATGGACTTTACTAGCAATGGAGGCAGGATTTGGACATAAAACTGTTGTCATGGCATAAAGTCCATGCCGTGCTCCTAGCTTGAGGACGCTTCCCTGGAGCTTCCCTTTCGCCAGCTCCCAGCACAAGGCCTAGCACATAGTAAACATTACATGAGTAATAATAATGCCAATGTTATTAGCTTAAAAAGTTAACTATATTCGTTGAGCACTTATGATGTCCAAACCCTATGCTCAGTGCTTTATACACACAAAAATTTTTTACCTTGTCATTAACACTTTTCTTTTTAGAAACACAACTTTATTGAGATATAATTTATATACCATAAAATCTGCCCAGTTCAAGGGTATAATTTAATGATTTTTAAAAATATTTACTGGGGCCAGCCCGGTGGTGCCGTGGTTAAGTGTGCGTGTTCTGCTTTGGCGGCCCGGGGTTCGCTGGTTCGGATCCCAGGTGCGGACATGGCACCACTTGTCAGGCCATGTTGTGGCAGGCGTCCCACATAGAAAGTAGAGGAAGATGGGCATGGATGTTAGCTCAGGGCCAGTCTTCCTCAGCAAAAAGACGGGGATTGGCAGCAGATATTAGCTCAGGGCTAATCTTCCTAAAAAAAAAAAAAAATTTACCAAGTCATGTAACCATCACCCAATCCATTTTTAGAACTCTTCCTTCACTTCAATAAAATCTACCACTGTAATAAAATCCCTCGTGCCCAGTTGCAATCACTCTGTCCCCACTCCCAGCCCCAGGCAGCCATTCATCTACTTTCCATCTATACAGATCTGCCTTTTCATATAAATAGAACCATACAATATGTGGTCTTTTGTGTCTGGCTTTTTTCACTTAGCTTTTTTTTTTTTCCATGAGGAAGATTCCCCCTGAGCTAACATCTGTGCCAATCTTCCTCTGTTTTGTACGTGGGTCACTGTCACAGCATGGCCACTGACGAGTGGTGCAGGTCCATGCCTGGGAACCAAACCCAGGCTGCTGAAGTGGAGCGCACTGAACTTAACCACTAGGTCATGGAGCTGGTCCCATCACTTAGTGTAGTTCTTTTTGAGTCATCCATGTTGTAGCATTCATCGGTATTTTGTTCCTTTTTAACGTTGAATAATATCTCATAGTATTGATTGACATTTGGCTTGTTTCCACTTTTTAGCTATTATGAATAGGGCTTCTATCAACATTTATGTGCAAGTCTTTGTGTGAATGTATGTTTTCACTTCTCTTGGGTAGATAATAAGGAGTGGAATTTCTGTGTCGTGTAGTAAATTTATGTTTATCTTTGTAAGTAACTGCCAAACTGTTTTCCAAAGTGGCTGTACCATTTTACATTCCCATCAACAATATATGAGGGTTCCCATTTCTCCTCATCCTTGCCAACATTTGTTATTGTCTATCTTTCTGATTATAGCCATTCTACTGGGTGTGAATGGTATCTCATTGGGGTTTTAATTTGCATTTCTCTAATGACTAATGATGTTGAGCATCTTTTTATATGCTTATTAGCCATTCATATATCTTCTTTGGTGAAATGTCTATTCAGATCTTTTGTCAACTTTTTAATTGGGTTGTTTGTCTTAATACTGAGCTGTAAGAGTTCTTTATATATTCTGGATACAAATCCTTTATCAGATATAGGCTTTGTAAATATTTTCTCTCATTCTGTGGCTTGTCTTTTTATTTTAATAATGTCTTTTGAAGTGCAAGAGTTTTTAATTTTGATGAAGTCTAATTTATCAATTTCTTTTATAAGTTGTGCTTTTGATGCATTGACATTAACATTTATTTATATAGTTCTGCTCTGCCTCCAAAATATATCCAGAATCCAGCACGTCCCTCCACCTCCACTGCCACCACCCTGACCCCAGCCACCATCATCTGTAGCTGGATCAGGATCATTCTCTCTGCTTCTGCCCTTGCACCCCTGTGGTCAACACAACAGACAGAGTGATTCCTTAACACTAGAAGCCTGATCGTGTTACTCCTCCTCTTAAAACCATCAGACGACTTCCCATCTCATTCTGGAGAGAAGCCAAGTCCTTATAATGGCCTCCAATCTTCCCCCAGCCCTATCCCTGTGGAACTCCTCCCCCAGCTCACCCCTCCAGTTCCCTATTCCCCCATGTCTGGTGGCTTGCTCCCCCACCTCCTTCAGGGCCTTGCTGAGATGTCACCTCCTCAAGGAAGCCTTCCCTGACCACCACTATATCCTTTATTTATTTTTCTATTGTTTAACTCTCCCCATAGAATGCCCCCTCCCTGCACACAGGGATCTGTGTCTTGTTCACCAGGATCCTCAGCACTTAGGACAGCCCTGACTTTTTTTTTTGTAAAGATGATTGGCCCTGAGCTAACATCTGTGCCAATCTTCCTCTATTTTGCATGTGAGACGCCACCACAGCTTAGTGTGATGAGCTGTGTGTAGGTCTGCACCTGGGATCTGAACTTGCAAACCCCAGGCTGCCAAAGTGGAGCACGGGTACCTAACCACTACACCACTGGGCTGGCCCCAGCCCTGGCATTTTTTTTTTTTCTGCTTTATTTCCCCAAACCCCCCCATACACAGTTGTATATCTTAGTTGCAGGTCCTTCTAGTTGTGGGATGTGGGACACTACCTCAACGTGGCCTGATAAGTGGTGCCATGTCCGCGCCCAGGATCCAAACCCTGGGCCACTGCAGCAGAGCACGTGAACTTAACCACTTGGCCACGGAGCCGGCCCCAGCCCTGGCAATTTTTTATGTTCACTAAATGTTTATGTTTTTTATGCTCACTAAACGTTTGTTGAGTGAACAAATGATATTCGTTCATTTCATCCTCACAATGAACTTCTGAAGAAGGCATTCTTACTGTCTCCATTTTATAAAGTGAGGAAACTGGATGTAGGGCAGTTGAGTAACTTGAAAAGCACAATGGACCTGAGGATATTTGTTGAATAAAGGAAGGAAGGATGAACTGAATGAGTAAACAGACAGGAGGGATTGTGTATACTCGTGGTGCCTTTGGCCTTCACCTCTGGGGCAGTTGCATTCCAGCCCTTGCCTGTGGGCCACTGGCTGCTGAATGGAAACATTTTTCTGTGGAGCTTTGGGAGGCTCTGGGCAAAGGGCCTGACACCAGCTGCCCAGAAAAGAAGCCGTGATCCCCAGGAACACGATGACACAGCCTGACTGCTCAGCCCAGTCCGGGGTAGGGGTGGGGGGTGGGGGGTTTCTGCAGCAGCTCAGTACGTGTAAATAGAAAGAGAATTCCGCCTTAATTCAGCCCTGCAGACAAGATCAGTTGGAAAGACCAGGGTGTTCTAGCCTGTGAAATATAAAAATATAAATATCAAAATGCTTAGAGGCAGACACATACATACCCACAAATACACCCTGGAATCCTCCGCTTAACACAAGCATAATTTTTCTTTCTAGCTGATTTCTTCTCACGCTCTGCAGAGGACGGCTCAGTGTTACAGGCAAAGGTGCAAAAAGCCTTGGTGAGCAGCAACAGCAGGCGCCCCCAGGCCACTGCGACGTCGCAGTCTGTCCTTGTTCCTTCATGTGCTCCAACTGTTCTGTTTGGGTTTTGTTTTGTTTTGAGCTCAGGCACCAAAATGTCTTCATCTCAAGGCCAAATCCCATCCATGCTTCAAGACTGGACTCAAACTCTGCCATCTGTGCAAGCTTTTATCTAAAGATGTTTTTAATAAGCACCTATCTTGTGCCTCCTCTGGGGACAGAGATGAGAACAGCTCTCCCCCTCCACTTGGATAATTATAGACACCTCAAACTCAGCAACAGCAAACTCCCATTTCTCCCCTAAACCTGCTCCTCCCGCAGCATTCCCCATCTCAGTAAAGGCACCCAGATTCATCCAGGTGTCCCAGTCACTCTCGGGTCTTCTCTCTTGCAGCCCACATCCAATCCTGTTGGCCTCACTTTTGAAACCGTATCCTGAATCCTGCACTTCTTCCTTCCCTCGTCACTACCATCCCACTCAAGCCACGTCGCCTTTCCTCTGGACCACGGCACCCACTGCCCCTTCCAGTCTGGTCTCCCAACAGCAGCAGGAGTGATCTTTCTAAAGAGCAAATCTGAATTCCCAGATCTATTGAAAACCCTTTAAAAGCTTCCTGTGCGCTCTCTGTGAATCCCAAGTCCCATGCCCTGGCCTACAGGGCCCTGACTGATTTGGTCCCTGTCCACTCTCCATCCCATCCTGCACCACTCTCGCTTGCTCTCTGGGCTCCAGCCATGCTGGCCTTCGTTCTGGTTTTCTAAAACACTGCCTGAAGGAGCCTTTACAAGAGACTGCTTCCTGGCAGGATCCCCTCTGACTCCCATGCAAGTCCAGGTCCTGCCGTCCAATGCCTCTGTCGCTGCAGCACTTTCCCTGCAGAGCATCTGGGAGGGTCTGTAATTATAACGTGTGTGAGATTTCTGTGACTGATGTCTGTTTCCCACCAGACTATGCCTCTAAGGGGAGGGACTTTGCTTTTCCACTGTTGAATCTCATCGCCTTGTACAATGCCTGGTTCATAGTAAGCACTCAATGAACATTCCTGGAATGCTGTTTGTGGAAAGAATGGATTCACGAAGCCACATGGATTGCAGTTTGTATAGTAGTTAAGCATTCAGGCTCTGGAGTTACACAGATCCAGGTTCAAATCTAGGTTCGGCTCCCTTCCTAGCTGTATGACTTATGGTGAGTTGCTTGACCTCTCTGAATCTCAGTCTTCAGCTGCAAAAGGAGATAACACAAGCTATTATACAGAGCTGTTAGGGGAATTAAATTTTAACAATGCAGGTAAACTGCTTGTCACATTGAAGTGCTTAGTAATGCTAACAGGGACTTTGATAGCACATAATAGGTGTGTACCCTGTGTTTGTTGGATTTCAATCTTTAGGACCTCATAGGAACTCAGACAGGAGTAGATGCAGAGAATGCCCTGAAAATGTGCCAGGGAGGAGGCTGGACAGGGTCCTCCCTGGAAAGGGGTCTAGACACAAGGTGTCTGGGGGGAGACTGAGGAGCACCACAGTTCTGAAGTCAAAAACTTCCCCCCAGGTCAAAATCCAGTCCAGGTCCAGGGCGACCCTTATTTAAAAAATATTGTTGGACTGGCCCGGTGGCGCAGCAGTTAAGTGTGCACAATCCGCTTCAGCGGCCCCGGGTTCGCCGGTTTGGATCCCGGGTGCGGACACGGCACCGCTTGGCAAGCCATGCTGTGGTAGGCGTCCCACATATAAAGTAGAGGAAGATGGGCACGGATGTTAACTCAGGGCCGGGCTTCCTCAGCAAAAAGAGGAGGATTGGCAGATGTTAGCTCAGGTCTGATCTTCCTCAAAAAAAAAAAAAAAAAAAAATATATATATATATATATATATATATATGTCGTTGCTTGGTAAACCTCCCTTTGAGCCCTTCCTACTGTTGGTGGGGGGATGCAGGGCTCTTCTTAGTTGAGGTGGTTGGGGGATGGGAAGTCCCTCTGGGAGCTGAGTAGGGCGTGTGCTCAGGGTGGGAGCAAAAGGAAGCCCCTCCCCAGAGGAGCTGAGGGTGGAGATGCTGAGGACCGTCTTTAGGCGGCCCGGCCACAACTTCTCCTGACAATCAGATTTACTTCTTGCCTCAGGGCCAGGTCAAACTCCTCCTCTTTCGTCCACCTAGCAAACGTTCACCGAGTCCCTCCTTTGGGCCAGCCTAGGCTGGGAGGCGAGACATAGTCCTCGCCTTCAAGAAGTTCACAGTCCAGTGGAGGAGACAGATGAATCAAACCATAATTATAATGTCAATTTGCATTTCATTTCCGCACTGCAGCCCAGATAATTTCTTTGGTATTTTTTTCTTATTTTAGTATGTGAACAGCTGAAGGAACAAGAAGAATAATTTCAGCACAGTGCTATGGTTACTGGACCGACAACACAGCTGGATGTGAGGCTGTCTGGTCGAGGACGGGAGGAGGGGGCTGAGACCCATCTCAGGACCTGGACTTGGATGCAGTGTGCCAGGAAGGGTGTCCAGGTGGGTGCGACCACAGCATGGTGTTTTTCTTTCTTTTTTGTTTTTGTTTTTGAGGAAGATTAGCCCTGAGCTAACATCTGCCACCAATCCTCCTCTTTTTGCTGAGGAAGACTGGCCCTGAGCTAACATCCGTGCCCATCTTCCTTTACTTTATACGTGGGACACCTGCCACAGCATGGCTTGCCACGCAGTCCCATATCTGCACCCGGGATCTGAACCGGTGAACCCTAGGCTGCCGAAGCAGAACATGCGAACTTTAAGCAGAACATGTGAGTTTAACCGCTGCGCCACCAGACCGGCCCCAGTGGTATTTTTCTTCCATTGACACATTCTTATGAAAAAACTGCATGTCAGAGGTAGAGAAACTAGAAAATGTATTTAAAATAGGGAGTATCAACCACTTGGAAAATCACTGCTAACATTTTGGTGCATATCCTTGCCAGCGGCTAATTTTAATATTCACACAAATCCCTGAGGAACTGGCAAAATACAAATTCCAATTCCTTAGGTCTGGGGTGGGGCCTGAGGTTCTGTTTCTACAATGCTCCGAGGTGATGCAGACATTGACGGTCTCCAAATTCACTTGAGCAAGGCTGTAAACTACCTATGTGTGTGTCTGTATTTTGGGTTGTTCCCAACTTTTTAGTATTACGAATGATGCTGCAGTGAATCTTTGCCCATAGAATTTTCAATATTTGTCTATTTCCTTTACATAAATTCCTAAATGTGTATCGCTGGGTCAAAGGTAAAGCATATTTTAAGGCTTTTGATACATATTGCAAATATTTCTTGAAAAAGGTAAAACCAGCTTATATCCCCACTAGCAATATCTGAGTGCCCGTTTCCTCACACCATAGTAACGTGTAACTCTTGCCAATTTGATAATCAAACAGGAGTACCTCATTGTTGTTTCAATTTGCATTTCTTTGATTAATAGTGAGGCTGAGTATCTTCCATATTTTTATTGGAATTTGTGTCTCTTCTTTTGTAAATTGCCTATTTGTGTCCATGCCCCTTTGTCTATTAGGGTGTTTACTTCTATTCTTATTGATTTGAAACAAGCTTTGGATTTAACTCTTTGTTACAAATGTTGAGCATGGTGTGCTTAAGAAACCACAAGTCGTTTCTTTTTGAAGATTGGCACCTGAGCTAACAACTGTTGCTAATTTTTCTTTTTCTCCCCGAATCCCCCTAGTACATAGTTGTATATTTTAGTTGTGGGTCCTTCTAGTTATGGCATGTGGGACGCTGTCTCAGTGTGGCCTGATGAGCGGTGCCATGTCCGTGCCCAGGATCCCAACCGGCGAAACCCTGGGCCGCCGAAGCAGAGCATGCGAACTTAACCACTCGGGCACAGGGCCGGCCCCCAGAAACCACAAGACTTTAGATAAGGCTGGGGTAAAGAGTTCAAGGAGAGATGAGCCAAGTGTTGAAGAAGAGCATGATGGATCTCAGGTGCCAGCCTGGCGACACTGGGGAGGCTGAGAGGCTGCATGCAGCATCCTTGAGTCACATTACAGTTCTTGCTCTAGAAACCGCATGGCTGCATAGGGCAGACAGCGCTTCCTCCCTTTCAGCTTACTTTTGCTTAGCACAGCTTAGCTTTGATCTCAAATTTTAGGCTTCATTTAGACTCCAACCAGTTTTTCTTTCTTTTATGTTAACACACAGTCTTCACATTGTTGTCAGTTTTACTGAGGTACAGTAAAATCTGCAACCAGAATTGAGGGAGGGGAATTTTCCAGAAATCATCGAATGTCCAGTTGGAAGAAAAACAGAGAACGGCACACAAAAAAATTAAAAGATTATGGGAGAACAGCTGTGTCAGGTAATAAAGCCACAAAAGTTAAATGGCTAGTTTTGGCTTAGACTAGCCAGACAGATGAATGAAACAGGCTCGACACCCAGAAGTAGACTCTGTACTTAGTATAGCAACTTCACATGTGATAAAAAGGAAGCATTACAAATCAGTGCAGGGAGAAAGGGGACCTAACAATTATGTGGGGGGAAAACCCAATTTAAATACTCACATTAACCCTACACCCGAGTATTTTTAAAAATAAGAATTCCGAGAGATAGTAAACAGATGGAATCAGACTGATGGAGAAATCAGAGCTGAGAAAAACTACCGCCCAAGGTACCTGAGTCAGGGGTCATTCTTCCCAAGAGAAGCCTAGACAAGTTTTAAGCTCAGAGTCCACAAATAAAAAATCAAAGTGGACGACAGGGCAGACGTCAGAGTAATTTGGCAAAGGGACCCGTTAGCAAAGCCTCGACAGTTGCCATACCACCCTCCTCCTTCAACAACTGCTTAATACAGAACTAGACACAGTATCTTTAACCGTTTCTGGGGAAAATGTCTTTTACAAAGAAGCCCATACCAGGCAAAGTTAAAACTGAGAGTGAGTATAAAAGAAGGATATTTTCAGACATACAAGAACCAGATAGTTTATACTCCTATGTGAAAAAGTTTCACGAGGGAGTACTCCACCGAAGTAAAGAAAAAGACTAACGTGCTGTAGAAGAGCAGCTGTTGCGTGTGATCAGAAATGAAGGAAACGGGGGGCCGGCCCCGTGGCTGAGTGGTCAAGTTCTCGCGCTCTGCTGCGGCGGCCCGGGGTTTCGCTGGTTCGGATCCTGGGCGCGGACATGGCACCGTCCATCAGGCCATGTGGAGGTGGTGTCCCACATGCCACAACTAGAAGGACCCACAACTAAAAATATGCAACTATATACTCGGGGGATTTGGGGAGAAAAAGCAGGAAAAAAAAGAAAAAAATCAGAAAAAGGCTTATTTGAAATTGATGCTTGAAAGATTTTTTAGAAACATACAATTAAAATGCTGTTTATTAGTTTCCAATTTTTAGAATGAAAGACTTAATTGTACTAATAGAAAATAGGATAAACCTTGACAACATGAAATAACAAAAAATGGTAGTTGGAGGAGGGAGGAGGAGGAATCAAGGAAAGCGAGCTAATTTCCTCATTTTTCAGACAGAGTAATCAATACACACTACCTGAGGTGAGAAATCAAGAAAGAGATGTTTAAATATATTGTTTAAAGTCATGAGGGGCTCCAGAAGCAGTAAAAGTAATAAGATATTTAATAAAATCCGGAGGCCCAGTGGGGAGGTCACATAAACGGACTAACTCCCTCATGTTTCCTAGAGGACTCACCAGGTGCTGTCTACCAAAATTAGAGGCAACTCACTACTTGAAGACAGGACGCTCACCACGCAAAGAACGACAATCAGAAGCTCCAGGGAAGAAAGCTGGAGCTGGGGAGGGGAGGGACGAAAGCTGAACTTTGGTATCTTTCAAGACTGTTGGAATTCTTTTCACCTATTTTATCATGTGCACCCATTTTTTCCTTAATAAAAATGTTGACAACCATTTAAAAAGCTATGGCACATCTATAACAGAAGAGTATGTAGCAGTTTAAAAAAATGAGGTCTTGGCATGGAAAGAAATCCACAATATACTTAAATGAAAAGGACTATTTGCAGGAAGATATGAATAATGCGATTCTAGTTGTATAAGAAAATAAAGTTGACATACATGTTGGTATATTCATAGGAAATGCCCAGAAGGAGAGAGATGAAATTGTTGTGACTCCCTCCAGGGAGTTGGGGGCAGGGAGAGAATGGGGACTTGAACATTTTACATTTCTCTCCTATCTGGAAGATTTTTGTTGTTTTTAAAAACAAGTATTTTTTTCTTTTTTTGAGGAAGATTAGCCCTGAGCTAACATCTGCCGCCAATCCTCCTCTTTTTCTTTTTCTTTTTTTTTTTTTTTACTGAGGAAGATTGGCCCTGAGCTAACATCCATGCCCATCTTCCTCTACTTTATATGTGGGATGCCTACCACAGCATGGCCTAACAAGCGGTGCCATGTCCGCACCTGGGATCCAAACTTAACTGCTGTACCACCTGGCTTGCCCCTAAAAACAAAGTATTAATTGTACAATTTTAAAAGTTTGTCTTTTTAAAAGTTAAAGTAATATTAATTCTTTACAGAAAATTTGGAAAATTACAAAGAAAGAGATCACCGAATCTCACAACTCTTGGTGTATTTTCCTCCAAATATTTTTTTCTCGATGCATCTGACTGTTTCTAGCTTTAGGCAGGCAGCAGTGTGGAAAGAGCCCTGGAGTCAGGCAGACCTGGGAGTGACATCAACTCCACCAAATTCCAATCGGGGCCTTGAACCGGTTACTTAGGCCCTATGTACAGCCCTTCCCCATCTCAATAAATGCAACTTCATCCTTCCACTTGCTCAGGCCAAAAGTGGGGGCCAAAACCTTGACCTCTCTTCCCTTGTCCAGTCCATAAGAAAATCCTTGTAGTTCTGCCTCCAAGACATAACCAACATCTGGCCACTTCTCACCACATCTAAACTCGTGCCGAAGTCCTCCCAATGGCCCTAGGAGCCGGCCCCCAATTCCTCTTTGACCTCATCTCCCAGTACTCTCTCACCGGTTGCTCATGGTGCCACGGCCACACCAGCCTCAACACAACAGACACATCCCCGCCCGGGGCCTCTGCTCCAGCTGCTCCCTCTGCCTGGACGCTCATCTCGAAGATGTTCAGGCAAAATCCCTCACCAGCTTCAAGTCTTTCCTCAAATCCCACCTTTTCAATGAGCTTTCCTCTGACCACCCTAATTAATAATTGTGCCTGACTCCTCCTATTCTAACTCCCCTCCCTCACGCCGCTTATCACTTTCTAACAAACCATATACTGTTTATTGTTTTTCATGTGCATCATTTCCTCCTACAAGAGTATAAACACCACCAGGGCAGAAGTCTTTGCTCAGTTCATTGATGTGACTAGCACATAGCAAATGCTCCGTAAGTAATTGTTGAATAAGTGGATGAGACCTAATTTTCTCATCTATAAAATGAGCATAATAGGACCCAGGCCATACATTGTTGTGAGGATCACATGAAAAAATAGATTTCAAATTACTTGCACGGCAGGGTTACCTAACCTCATTTAGGATGGTTAAGGATGGCTTCGGAAAGAAAGATTTCAGCAGAGACCTCATGAGCAGGAGTTAGCTAGCTAGAGGGGGGAAGAGAATGTTCCAGAAGAATAGCTTGTGGGACGGTATGGAGCTGAATGATGAGCTAGGCACAAAACTTAAGAGTAGACTGCGTTATGGCTGGAGGGCAGGGGTTTAGGGGCGTGGATGAGGCAGTAGACGCCGGGTCCTGCAGCCTCAGAAACCTGTGGAGTTTGGGCCAACCATGAGGGCTCGGCAGGTCTCATCAGGACAGTGACATGGCCATGTCTACCCACAGGAGAATCAGTGTGGCCACTGTGCTGACAATGGGTTGGCTGGGGCAGGGCTGGGGGCAGGCAGATGGGTAGAAGGCATAGCAGCAGTCCAGGCAAGAGAGGGTGGCCTGGGACAAGCAGGGGAAATGCTGAGAATCCAACAGGTGCACGAGGGGAGGCCCAATGGGCAGGGTTTGGAGATTAGCTGAACGTTGGGGTGAGGGAGGAAGAGATGCCCAATTGGGAAACCGGGTGGACAGGGTGCCGCACACTGTGACGGGGGGCCCTGGAGGAGAAGTAGGTTTGGAGGTGGGGAATGGGGTGACAGCGAAGGGGAGGGGGGCTGACAGTGGGCGATAGAAAGGGCAGGGACTCTGGAGCAGACACAACTGGGTGCAGGTCCCAGCTCTGGTGCTTACCTGCCACCTGCCCTGTGGTCTTGGACGAGTTAATCCACGTGAACCTCAGGCTCCTTCTCTGTGGAGGGCAGAGGCTCTGCACTGCGGGCTGCTTCGAGGCTCACTGATCACGTCCATAAAGCATGGTGTGCAGAGCCGGCCGGAGCGGTTCTGATGCTCTTGTTCCTCAAGTGACAATCTGGTATTTACCCCTCATTTGAAAATGTTTAATGACTCATTCTTTTATTTAGCAAACAATTATTCAAATTTAATGCCATCAAGGATAACGCAATGAAGGTGTTGTTTTCCTGAACAAATATGCCAGCCACTGAACCAGGTGCTGGGGGAACCAAGAAGGGCCCTGATCCCAGGCCTGGGTCACTCACAGCCCTGAGACGGCTGCCGACACTGGGGTGCAGTGAGGACCAAGATGGAGGCGGCGCAGGATGAGACAGAGGCACTCCACCTGCCAGGGACACCTGCATCCCTTTCACAACCAACTCAAACCCCTCAGCTGCTTCCAGCCTGCCTTTCTAGCCCACCGGCGCACTACCCTGGTCATACTATGCTCCTTGTAGTTTCTCATATTTGCTGGTCTCATGCTTCCAAGCCTTTGTACAACTTGCTCTCTCCATCAGAAATGCTTTTCCCACCTTTTTAAAGATTTTATTTTTTTCCTTTTTCTCCTCAAAGCCCCCTGGTACACAGTTGTATATTCTTCGTTGTGAGTCCTTCTAGTTGTGGCATGTGGGACGCTGCCTCAGTGTGGTTTAATGAGCAGTGCCACGTCCGTGCCCAGGATTTGAACTAAGGAAACACTGGGCCGCCTACAGTGGCGTGAACTTAACCACTCGGCCACAGGGCCAGCCCCTTCCCACCTTTTTAAACTAACTACTACTCACCTTATGAAACACTCAGAATCCAGCTTGTGTCACCTCCTCCAGGAAGCCTTCCCTGACCCCGCCATGGGGTCAGGTGCTGCCTCAGTGCACCCACAGCACCTCTGTGTTGGGCTTGTCAAGACACTCTACAGTCTGATAATTGGTGATTTATGTATTTCTCTTCCCCACTTGTCCTGGGTCTCGTTTATCGCTGTGTCCCCAGAAGTTCCAAGGTTTGACAACCTGGGAGGACTTGTCTGATTACAAGTGGAGAGGCCACAGGGCTCAACAAGCCAAGGTTGCTGTGTGTCCAGGGGCAAGGTGACCACAGTGTCCAGTATCTACACTGCAAGAATTACAAGAGTCCTCAGCAACCAATTTCTACATTGTCACGGCCGCCACTGCCACAGTGCCAGACCTCTCCTTACAGCAGGAGAGGAGAGGGAGGTGGTGATGGGAGACGGGGAGTGTGGCTCCTGGAGGGGGAGTCCCAGTAGCTCCTGACAAGGTGACCCAGAACATCCTAAGGGTGAGGAGAGGCAAAGGGTATACTCTCAGCCCAGGGAGCTGGGTCCCATGTGGGGTGCTCTTTACGCGCTCTGGTGGCTCAGGCCTGGCCCTTGGTGACTCAGTCTTTAGGGTCTATAACTGCTTCTTTTTAAAAATGGGTACCATGGCAGGAGCCCGTCTTGTCACAAACACTCCAGATGGCCTCACTGTCTGCTTAGGAGCAGGAAGTCTCCAGAACCTGCCCCAAAGTACTGACTGACAGAGCCCAGAGCCCAGATTCTGGTTCCAGAAAGAGCTGAGACAGAGGCCCGGTTTGTAAGAAATCTGATTATTCAAATTTATTACCATCAAGAATTATGCAATGATGCTGTAGTTTTCTTAACAAATAGAAAACAGACTGTGTACAACAGTGAACTCTACAGCACTAGCATCCACAAGGTAAAAATGAATGTCTCGGCCAACATTACCAACCCTGGATCGCTGATCTTCACTGAGCCTAGCTAGATCTGGGGACGTGGGCTCCACATCCCTCAGCTAACACCTCTATGCACCCTTCCCCGCCCCTACTTACCTATCTAGATAGTGCTGCCCAGAGGAAGAGGCCCTCTCCCTGCCCCTCAGCAAGCTGACGTAATAAGGATTGATTATAGTACCATTGAGAGGAGTCCAGTAGTCTTGCCACATTGGTTTATGAGGGCATCTTGAAGGAGTGGAAAAGAGCAATTCTCAGGGGCTTTGAAACAGCTGCAAACCAGGGAGGGAAAATCATCTGGCCCCTGCTCCGAGGACAGACATGTGCTCCCAGGCCCACTGGCCTGGACCTGAAGGGCCAGCCGCGCCCCTGCTTGGCCCTGAGGTGTGTGGGGCGTGGCACACACTCTGCCCTGTGCCAATCGCCTTGGCCATGCAGCCAGACCCACAGCCTACCAACACCATGCCATACCGCAATGCTGGGGGCAAAAGCGATGCCCCGTGGGCCCAGAAGTCAGCCCTGCGGCTCCCTGGGAACCCAGGTGCACAGAGCCACCTCCCCTCCTGGGGGTTGAAGCAGAGGCCAGGGGATGATTCATTTTTTTTCTCGGGTTTTTTTTTTTTTGATTTTTTTGTTTGTTTGTTTGTGTTTTTTGTCTTTGCTTTTTTTAACCTTTGCAAACACGATGGTGATGAGGAATGCCTTGCCAGGCTCCCCTAGACACGTCTGTGGTTCTGGGCTGTGAATGTTGCACACACACGGAACAGACGACTGGGGATGAGTGTCTCCTCACTCCTCCCCACCCACCACTGTCTGTGGGGCCTAAAATAAGGCTCTTAAGGAAAAACAAAACGAAGCTTACAAAAAAAAAAAAATCGTGTTTCCCTGCATTTGGCTGAAACAGGATCTTGTCTGAAGCGCTGGGAGAGCCGCTGGCTCGGTGAGGCCTCCGCACAGGCTGGCGGCCCCAGCTCCACACACGAGGGCGTGTTCGTCCTTCAGCAGTAAGTCATACAGAAAAAGGATCCAGGGTGAACTCAAAAAAGGAAAACTACACCCCAACCCCCACAGCGGCCCACTCTGCAGTTAAGGATTTGCAAAAAGAAAAATCAGAGGGAAGAGGCTAGAATCTCTCTGTCTACCCCACTTAATGTATAAAAAGGGAGGCTTTGCCCCCATCCCCACCCCATGAGAAGAAGCATGAGAACTGCGGTAGCGGAACAGAGAGCTCGAAGCAGGCTCCGGGGGGCCCGATGGACACAGACGGGCCATGGCGCCTGCCTGCCGGGCCACCCACTCGCCAGGGGGGTTCTGGGCTCTCCGTTTGGTGTGGCAATGTTCCTGAAACGCTGTGATCCCAGTGGGCTGTGCTCTGCCAGCAACAGCATCCGTGCAGGAGGGCTGGACGATGGTTGTATGGCTCAGAGGAGCTGGGTCCCCTCCGGAGCCCCCAAGCAGGGGCGGCGGAGGAGAGGGGAGCGGTAGTTACGTTGCATAGTGGTCAAAGCTGCCGAGGTACTCCAAGGCCGCGCGGTAGCACAGCTGGTACTGGTCCTGCCAGGACAGGGGGGTGGTCAGCGTGGGTGGTGCCAGCAGACACCCCCGACACACTGCCAAGGGCACTCACACTGTGGCCGGTGGACCATGGGGTTAGCCTCTGCTGGCCAGGAGCCGGTGCTAGACCTACACATCTGTCCCAGGCAGTGCCCAGAGAGCCTGAAAGAACCTCTGAAGGTTCATTTCTCTCCCTTCCCCACTGCCCTACATCAACTTGCCTTCCCCCTGTGACCCCAGTCTGCTCCTAGACCCCATAAGAACTGCCATGTCTAACCCTAGCCAGGAGCCAGGTACACCCCTGGTGCTCAGTGCAAAGCTGCTGAGTGAGGAGTACATCCCGCTCATCCTACCCCGGCGCCCCAGGCAGAGCAGCAATGGTAAACGTCGGTGATGTGTGCCTGTGAAGAGCCAGGCCTATGCACCGGCCAGCTGGCCTGCGTACCTCTGTCTGCACCATGGCCGGGCGCTGTGTCCGCAAGGTCTTCACGGTCTGGAACATGTCAACCACGCCCTCGTAGCGCATCCGCTCCAGGACGATGCTCAGAGTGATGAACACTCCGGTGCGGCCCACACCGGCACTGCTCAGGGACAGCACCGGGTCAGGGGTCCTGCCCACCAGGCCCACAGACCCCTGCCCACCCCAGCCCTCCATGGGGTCAGCCCCACCTGCAGTGCACTGTGATGGGTCCGTCCTGTCCAAACTGCTCCTTGGTCTTGTGCACCTGCCCAATGAAGTCGATGAAGCCCTCGCCTGTCTTGGGCACGCCCTGCTCCGGCCAGTCTGTGAACTGGAACTGCCGGATCGTTCTCGACTGCCCATCCTGGGTAAGTTGCGCAGGTGACAGGGTTAGTGCCTGTGCCCCAGGCTGCAGCCCCACCAGGGCAGGTGGGTAGTATAATGACACAGCCACCCCGGGAGATGTGCTCGCGCCCCCACACCTGCACCCCAACCTCAGATTCCTGCAGCTTGAGCTAGGGCACCATGCAGGCAGCTCCCATCCCACATGCGCTCAGGCAGTGTTACAGACCACTTTCATGCAAACAGACATACTTCCCTGTCCACACTCACCCGGGCATCCGTGACCTTGAACTCACGCAGGATATACTGGGGCATGTTGTATTCAGCCATCGGGTCAACAACAAAGTACTGGTAGCGAGCAGAGCGCTCTGCTGGCCAGTACTGGTGGCATTTCTCCTGTGGACAAAGGGCCCACCGACAAGATCAGGTGGGGAGGACTGGGCGAGAGGAGCTCCAGGTTTCAGAGGATTCTGGGGCAGGTGACTTCAGGTGGTGATAACAGGGGTCTGAGGCTATGCTGATGAGAGGCCAGGTGTGAAAGGAGAGAACAGTGAAGGGGTGGCTGAGGTGCTCCCAGGTGTGAGATGGGCCCTGGGCAGGGGGCGCTCACCCTGCCCATCTCCCGAAGCCTGGTCAGCATGACGATGATGGTGGAGTTGTGCTCCCATAGCATGCGCCAGAAGTCCTCGGTGCTCTCTGCCAGAGGCCCTTGTGTGGCTATGTAGGCTTTCTGCTGTCTGGGGTGGACATAAGACTGGACATGTTGGAGGTGCTGCTGCCCCTATGGTCTCCCCAAGACTGCCTAGTCCCTTGGGGCCTTGCTCAGATCACCCTTCCTCCAGGAAGTCCACTCTGGTCTTCTGGGCTAGCCCTACTCTGTTGCGCCCCCAACCAGCCAGGTGGAGGCCTAGGTACCCACAGGGCGTGGTAGACGGTCACAAGTGTGCTGACCTATAGCCATCCAGGAAGCTGGCGTTGATGTAATCAGAGCCCTCTACACCACGGATGGGTTGCAGACACACTCGGGTCAATTCATAGGGCATGATGTTCACCAGGCGGTTCTTAAACTTGTTGCAGGGCAGGTTGGCGCTGATGAAGCGGGATGTGTGGGCCTTGGAGCTGGCCAGCAACTAGCAAGAGGGAGGGGCTGGTCAAGCCTGGCTTCCTGGGGAGATCATCCCCCTGACCTAGTCCAGGCCCCTGGAGCCAGATAGGCCTACCCCTGACCCCACCTTGAACTCGAGCTCCATGGCGGTCACACTCTCCCCAGGAGGCACTTGGCCCAGCTTCTGGATGTGGGCGTAGAGGTTGCGGGCGGGCACCTCTGTGTGACCACACGTGGCGGCCTCCAGCAGCGCCTCGTGGATGAACACATACTGGTCTTCTGTCTGCACCATGTAGTTCCGCTGCGATCGCATGCACGTCACATGGCCATAGATGTCAACTGTCTTCTCGTGCTTCATCCGCTCCAGCATGGCATCAATAACGATGAAGCAGCCCGTGCGGCCCACGCCCGCACTGCAGGACACGGGCTCAGCTCGGGGCAGAGATCCACCCCACCTCCCACCCCACCCCTGGAGAGACGCTGTACCCCCTCACCTGCAGTGCACCACCATGGGCCCTGCATCTAGAGGGTTGCAGGCCTTGACCCGCCGCAGGAAGGCCAGGATCGGGGTCGGGTACTCGGGAACCCCATGGTCTGGCCAGGCCATGAACTGGAACTGGCGCAGCTCCCGCTTCTCACTGGAGCCACTCTGGAGAAAAGCAGGGACAGACGGTGTGACTAGGAGTCTGCCTACTATAGACTCAGGGCAGAATGACCCGCCACTGAGGCCAGACCCATCACTCTTTCATGGAACTCAGAAACCACATGGGGCAGCCTAAAGGAGCTCAAGGCACTGTTCCCATTCATTCCACACATGCCACCAGCCGTCACTGCATTCATACACCTGCGAGACCCTGACCGCCACACCGAGTTCCGGGCTCACCCACCCACAGCACATCATGCTCAGACCAGACCACTGTCCTTATAGGGCCCAGAGTGGGGACAAGCACTGGGGTGGGGCCATACCCTGTGGAGCGCGAAGGTGCGCACAGTATACGTGGCCAGCTCCACTGTGTCCAGCAGGGTCACCTGAATGAGGCCGTAGGTCTCAGTGCCACGGGCTGGCCAGTACTGATCACACTTCACCTGCAGAGGGACAAGCAGGGAAGGGTGCAAGGGTGTTTGGAGGGGCCCAGAGTTCAGACAGGCAGGGGCCCTGGGGCAGAAGCAGAGTGGAAGGTCTTAGCCTACCTGGCTGATAGCCCCTCCAGCCCGGAGCTCTCAGACCCATTGTGCTACCCCCTCACCAAGCCACATCAGGTTCTCATGCTGGAACTGAAAATTATTTATTCATGACCGGATCACACCAGGCACATTTTCTGCCAAATTTACCCATAACGTTTATGCGCCATTTTCAAGCTCTGTAAATTTCATGTTCCAGTCAATGCTTTGCAGGCAAAAGCAGATAACAGCAGCTCTTTCCACTAATTAACTTAGGAGATGTGTTAAAGCCCCAGGAACACTAGCATCTGGGGAACATGTGAACATCCCGGGAACATGCCAGCAACTAGAGAACATATTAACAGTCCTGGAAAATGACAGCATCTGGAGCAACATATTAACACCCTAGGAACCCACTAGCGTCTGGGGAACATGCCACATCCCAGGAACACCCAGCAGCTGGGAACACGATTTAACACCCCAGGAAAACAAGAGCACTTGGGGATCCCTTGAGAAGCTTCTTCCCACAGGGACAGAAAAGGTGATTGAAGTCACCTTGTGGCTGAGTAATTCCCACCCCACCTCCTGGCAGGGCCCTGCACAGTCCTACCCGGGACTTCTCCTCCAGCCGCGTCATCATGACCACAGTGGCCGTGCGCTGTTCCCACACCATCCGCCAGAAATCGCCCATGGTCTCCGGCAGTGGGCCTTGTGTGGCAATGTAGGCATTCTGCTTGCGGTAGCCATCGATGTAGTTGGCATTAATGTAGTCACTCCCCGGGACACCTATGGACAGGAAGGGACATGGGGGCGGATTATCCCAGGGCCCCCAGCCCAGCCCACCATAACTCGGTTCACCCCTGGGATGTATGGGTCTCTTCTGTAGGAGAAAAACGTCACCCCAGCCAGCAAGGAAGAGGAAAGCAAGGGGCTTGGAGGGGGCTCCGCCCTTGGCTCACCATCGATGGAGGTGAGGATGACTCGAGAGTGGTCGTAGGCAATGACATTTGCATAACGGTTCTTGGGCTTGTTCACCTCCAGGTTTGAGTTCTCCCACGTGAACTGCTGACCAGGGTCAATGGACTGCAAGGAATGGAGAAGGCACGGGGAGTGGGGTAAGAGCTGAGGTTTACCTACCGCCCCCAAGAGGGACCCAGCCTTACCAGGTGGTGCCCACATCCTGCCTTCACTCTGAGACCACAGGCAGCCCTTGTATCCCATGGTGCCAGCTAAGGGTGAGCACCAGCTCCCCCAGCCATGGAGCTCAGAGGCCGCCACATCCCCTGTCAGGAGGGCGATGGACCAAAGATGCCTCTGACTATGATACCAAATCCTCTTGCCCAGTAGAGTGGTCAGGGCTAAGGTGGGGGTGGGGGAAAGTCCCTCAAGCCCTAGACCCAACTAATGAAATGAGTGCAGAACAAGATGAAGCAATGGCAGCCAGCTGTGCAGCACCTGACACTGCCAAGGGCTCTGGACATCTGCCACACCACCCTGTCCAGCTCTCCTCCTACCTCTCTGGCTGCTCCTTCTGTCTCCTCTCCTTCCACCAGCCATTCCCATAGGCAGGACACAGCACTCCTTCAGGGTTCATTCCCAGGCCCTCTTGGCACTCTACAACCTTTCCTAGGGGACCTCATTAGCTCGCAGGATATCACACCCATACGCCGGAGTTGCCCATAACCCCAGCTGCAGCCCAGGGTCTCCTCTGAGGCCTGGTCTGTAGAGCCAGCAGCCCCCTGGACATCCCCACCTGGAGGTCCCATAGGTCCTTCAATCTCAACTCTTGCCAAGCTGAGTTCCTCAGCTTCCCCTCCAAACTTGGCTCTGCTGCTGGGACTCCATCTTGGCGAAAGGCACCGTGACTCATTTACCCCAAACCCCAGCCAGAACCTGGAAGTCATCCTCACAACCCCTCTGTGCCTGTCCCATCAGTCACCACGTGCCAGTTCCCCCACCTCCCCCCACCGGCTCTAACTTGCTGCCACTGGCCTCGGCCAAGCCACCCCAACTCAGACGTGTGCATCTCCCTGCCTTTCCACTTCTGCCCCACTCCGCCCCACTCTGCCCCGCAGCCAGCACAATCCTCATGAAATGTAGATGTCATTATCAATTTCCTGCTTTGGCGCCCCCCAGGGCTCCTCATCACCTCTGATGATAAGAAGGACAACAGCTGAGTCTTGGCGAGAACTTACCATGCACTTGGCACTGTTCTAGGCACCCTGCATGTGCTCCCTCATCTAATCCTCCTGTGAAACAGGTCCCGGCACCACCCTCCTTTTACAGATGGATATAGTCCAAAGTTCTCAGCAGAGCACAGGACATCCTCCAAGTTCTGGTGCCAGCCTGCTGGTCTCCACACCACAGCACACACTGCTTCTGTGAGACCCCCAGCACACCCCACCCCTCAGCCTGCTTCAATGCTGTCAGCCTACCTTGTCCCACACGTCTGTCCGAGTCATACTTGGGCAGACTGTCATGTTCAAGGTTGATGCGTTAATGACTGACTGCACTCGTCTCCCCACTGCCTGAGCTCCCCGAGGGCATTTGTCTCCACATCCCCGGCACCCCACACAGGGAGTGACACACGGTAAGTGCTCCACAATGCGTGATGAATGAATGACTGATGGTTAAAGATCACAGAGCTACAGGATCCTGGCTGAGGGAAAGCCTATGGCAGGCTGGGGTGGCCAGAGAAGGCTTCCTGGAGGAGGAGTGTCTTGTAAGGAAAGCTCAGACGGGAGGGGAGAAGCAGGCAGAAGGTGGAAGGGGGAATGCTGTGAACCCAGACAGGGAGGCCCAGAGCCTCATCAGAAGGAAGGGCAGGTGTGGGACATGGGACTGGATGAGTGCGGGCAGAAGACCATGGAAAGCATTCCCTGCCAGATAAAGACTTGAAGGCAGGGAGCCCGACTCACCAGCTCCACTACCCTTGCAGCACGGCCTTATGCAAAGCAGGGCCCCAGCAGGCGCTCTGCAGGCAAGAGACGGCACACTCTCCTCGCATCAGACATGTTCGTCAGTGTGCCTGCCAGGCTCAATTTCCTCTACAGAAACCTGGCCCACAGCCCCTGGAAGGGGAATCACACCCCAGGACGCCACGCACAGCTGAAGGTGGACATCTGACTAGAAGGGGAGCAAGCTCCCAGGCTGCGCTAAGCCAGCCCATCAACCACCTATCCATCCATCACTGATCGAGGGTGAAACCTGTGCTGGGCCTGCACCAGGAGCTGGGCAAGCCCTCAGATCCCAGGCCAAGGGAGCAGCGCTCTGAAGTCTGAGCCACTGGCAAGCAGGAGTCAAGGGCAGAGTGAAGTGAGCACATGGGAGGTCCCGAGCAAGGGATCTGTGCAGCCTGAGCAGCAGGCCTCCAGTCCCTGCCTCCCTGTCTCTGTGATCTGCACCGTCTGAGCACACCCGGGGCAGGGCACCGGCTGTCAGGAGGCATGGGTTTGAATCCTGGCTCCACTGCTCATCAGCTGTTTGACCATGGCAAAGTCACTTCCCCTCTCTGAGCCTCAGCTTCCTCATCTGTAAGATGGGATAGTAACAGTACCCATTTCACAGGGGAGAGGACTGAAGGAGATGATGCACACAAAGTACCTAGCCCAGTGCTGGCCTGCAGTAAGCTCTTGAAAAACGTCAGCTGTTATTATTATCTGTGTGTGTGTGTGTACGTGACCTTCTGTCTGCCTCTGTTAGCATCTGGGCATGTGTGTGGGTGTCCAGACTTGGGGTACCTAAAAGGGCCTCAGCCAGGCGCCACTGCTGAGCCCTCCAACCTGTGCTGTGGGGAAGCCTGGAGCCCCACATCTCTAGCTGGGGCCTGAGGCGGGACAGGAGCTGGCATGGTGCTAAGCCAGGGGCAGACACACGGCGGCAGGTGGGCATCTCACCTCATACTCCTGGGAGAACTTGAGGCCGTCGTTGGCTTTGAGGCGCTCAATGTTGTCCGCCAGGTCAGTGATTGGGATAGGAGGGTGGTCTCGCATACCTGGGGGAGGGGGCACACAGAGGCAGAGTTAGCATAAGGCCTGAGCAGGGTGGTGGAGACAGCCCCAATGCATGTATGTGCACATGTGAACATGTGTGACCATGGAGCACCGGGCACTGGTGGCATGGAGACAGCGGCACATGCGGCGACAGGGATGGCGGAGCACACAGCGGCTGGAGGGTGACAGAGGAGAGAGAGGGAAGTGTGTGTGCTGTGAGGACATGTGAGCGTGTCCGTGTGACACGGCGCTGAGTGGGGGCACCAGGGCCCCACCTGGAGGGTTCTCAAGAGGGATGAGAGGCTTCCTCCCTCCCAGGCCAGATGGCTGACAGGATGGGGCTGTGGGCTTCTTCACCCGGAACACCTGCCCCATAGGCCCTGCCTGTGGACTGCCCTCCTGCCCCTCACTGGCGCCAGTCACCATGGGAGACTCAGTGACATCACTGTCCCTGCATGGAGCGTGTAGATGGAGTGGTCACGAAATACGGAGACACGGCAGAGTGACATGGAAGAACACAGAGAGAGAAGCAGAGACGAGGAGGGAGATGTGGAGACAGGAAGACAAGGAGACAGGGAGGGAACCCAGAACGGGTCAGACTGAGACTGGAGGCGAGAGAGGGAGAGACACAGAGACGGGGCCAGTGGGAGAAAAAGCAGAACAGAAGCAAGTTGGGAAGAGGGGAGGATGGAGGGGGAAGAAGATGAGGAGAAGAAAGGGGAGGGAAGAATCTAAGGAAGAAGGGAGGTGATGGGGTGAGAAAAAGTAGAGGAAACAGACACAGAAGCCAGAGTAGCCCCCAAACATGGGAACTTGGAAAACTAACTTGAGATATTCGGGCAACTGGGGACACTGGAACCTGCAGAGAAAAAAGACAAAAAACAACGGGGCAGGAGAGGAAGGCCCGTTAACCTTCTCGGGTTATGTCACTGTCAGACACGGTGAGGGGCTGAGGGGGCAGAGGGAGCTGGGGGGTGGGGATGAGGGGGTGGTGAGGGGTCTTGGGCTGTGGGGCAAGTCCCACCATAGCTCCCACCCAGAGCCCAGCGCTCCCAACCCTTGGGGGCCTGGGCAGGCCTCTCTTCATGACTAAATTCTAGGTCCAAATCAATCCTCATCCCCTCTGGTATCAAAATTGACCTTGACCTTGTCTATTTTTGGATGATCTGGCAAAAGGAAAGTGTGCTCTTACATGGAGAGAGGAGGCACGTACAGTGAAAAACAAAAGTGCACCAGGATAGGCACATGATGACTGTATTACTCTTTCTGCTTTTCTGTGGGTTTGAAAAACTTTCAGAATAAAAATTCAATTATAGGAGAAAAAAAAATTTACTGAACTAAAAAAACACGAAGAAAACCCTCCACCGTGGAGAGTGCTGCTTGCCCCCGTTGTGCTGCTCTCTCGTCCCTGGTTCACTCAATGCACCGAGTACAGCTGGCACCCCGGGCACCGCCTGCCCATGTCCAGAGGGAAGCCTCCCCCAGCCAGGAGCCTCGGTTCCTTGACATCTCCGCACCTCTGGTGACCCTCACGGTGCCACTTTCACAGCCTTTAACACACCGCGGACTTCCTGTTCTTCATCCTTCCTTGTCCTCTCGGATCCCTGCCAGGATCCCTGCCATTTCCCTCGGGCCCCTGCAGCCCCAGGGCTCTGGATCACCCCTGAGCCCTCATGCTACTCAGCAATCTTCCTGGGCCATCTGCTCAGCGCCCACACCCAGGCTACCATATCGGCTCGTGATCTTGCTCCAAACACTTTCCTCTCATCCCAGAGAAAACAGGCCACCAGCCAGCAACGTGTTACATCAACTTCACAGCTTCCCATTGTCTCCTGGCCCAGAGCTCAGAGAGGCATCCCCACCCCCTGCCCCCAGGCTAAGTCACACCCCCACACTCAGGGCTCTGGAGCCAGCCTTCCAGGTTCTCCTCCCACAGGCCAGCACCCCGACGCCTGCATCTTAAATGCTCACTCAAATGACCGCTGTCCACAAACAATTTCCATATTGGAAGAAAGAAAATCCTTTTTCCATCCCACACCCCTCTCTCCTCTCTCTGTGGTCCTGCCCATCCGATTCTTCACCTGCAGCCTCTGAAACAGGCTTCTTTCTCCACTTGCTCATTCCCCACTCACTGCTGCTCAACCCACTGAAACTCAGCCACTACGCTCTCTCCAGGGTCCCAACTGCTGAGGCCAATGGTCCTCCTGCTCTTGTAAATCCCCAAATCCCCCTCGCGCACAGCCCTCCCGCCAGGCTTCAGGGACGCTACACTCCTGCTCTCTCTGGCTGCCCCTTCATAATCCTCCTGGCTACTCTGCATTCATCCTTCCTCAATGTTTCACCTCTTTCTCTGGCTGCTCCTCCCCCCTTCTCTTTTCCTTCTCCTCCTCTCCCGGGAGAGCCCACCTGTTCTCAGGCTGGAACCACCGTGTGCTCTTCGGCACCTCCCACGCCCATGGTTTCAGCCCAGGTGTCAGCACAGAGGTCCAGACCCACAGACGCGGCTGCTGCCTGCATCCGTCCTCCCGAGATCCACTTCCTCACCCATGTGGAATCAAGCACAAGCCTGGCTGCCCATGCCCCCTTCATGCTTCCTGAGTCTGCCCTTCCCTCCAACCCCCACGGCCACCCCCCATGTCCTCAGCACCCTCACTTTCTTGGTGGCCTTCTAAACAGTCTCCCTTCCCACCTTCTCCCCCTCCAATCTGTCTCCACACAGCAGCCAGAGAGGTATTTCTAAAGCACAATTCTGACCCTGTCGCTCCCCTGCTGAAAACCTTTAATGCCTCCCTGGCACTCTCAAGGTGAAGACCCAACCCCTGGTGCTCTGTGACTGGACCCCTGCCTAACCCTACAGTCTCATCTCGGAGCTCTCAAGACCCCCAACTTCAATGCCACGCAACACTCAATGCCCCTGAGCCACTTCCGAGCGTGCCGTTTCCAGCGAAGGGAGCGCCGTCCCACCCCCTCTTTGTTGGACTAATGAATGCTCTGGAGTTAGTCCAGAGGCGCTTGGCACCCCCTCAGAGGAGGCTGCTCTGCCCTCCAGGCCCCCAGCATCCTGGAGCTTTGGTTCCTCACAGATACGATCATGCCAGGCTGCAACGGCCTGTAGGTCTGCCCGGCTCTCTCTCAGGACGTGGACCCTTGGAACTCAGTCACCATGCTGTGAGGGAGCCCAGGCCACACGAAGAGGCCTCACGGGCTTGTCACAGCTGAAAACCCAGGCAGGCTCATAGCTGACTCTAGCACCAACCACCAGACATGTGGATGATTGACTCTTCAGAATTCAGAGATTGACTAACTTTTCTATAAAAGGTCAGGAAGTAATTATTTCTGGCTTTGTGGACATAGGTATCTATTGCACCTACTTAAGCCTGCCTTCGTAGTGTGAAAGTAGCCATGGACAATATATAAATGAATGGGCATGGCTGTGTTCCAATAAAATTCTATTTTTAAAAATATGTGGTGGGCCGTACCTGGCCACGGGCCATAGTTTGCTGACCCCTGCTTTAAATGATTCTAACTCCCAACCTTCAAGTCCTCCGGTTGAGGGCCCAGACGGTCTGGAATAGAGACAAGCTATTCCTGCTGTGTTCCTGTCTGAATTTCTGACTCACAAAAACTGTGAGCGATAATACATTAATTATTGTTGTTTTAAGTCATTAAGTTTGGGGGTAATTTAATATGCAGTAATAACTAGCTCATATAGACACAAACCCTGTGTGTGTGCGTTAGTTCACTCATTCATTCCGCTGTCTGTGTGTTCATTTCACAGGCATTCAACAAGAATCCACCATGTGCACAATCGAAGGGATGGCGGATGAACAAGGCAGAGCTCCTGGCTCCACAGAGCTCGGATTGTCACCGAGGCAATTCTAGCCCAGGAGGAGAGGTGTCATGATGGAAGGAGCAGAAGCTCTGGGAGCTGAGAAAGGACCCCCAGACCTGTGTGGGGGCTGGGGCGGCCTGAGAGGCTGTCCCCCAGGAGAGAGGTCTGAGCTCTGTCGGCTGGGGCACAGGGAATGAGTGACACTTCAGGTAGAAGGGAGAGCCAGATGGCCACATGAGAGTGGCTGGGGAAGGAAGGGCAGGCGCTAAGCCCTGTGTGGGGGCCCTGAGCTTGCATGGTAAGTTTGGGGCCAGCATCCAACACAGGTCAGATGCGGCACCCCACCCCACCATAAGTGTCTAATGTGGTGTTTCCCACCAACACACCCCTCTTTCACGTGGAGAGGCCAGAGGGCAGGCACAGACGCTAACCACCCTGTGGCTGGGACGTGGGCTCTGTGAGGGTCTTTAGCATGTATTTGGAGGCCTTGACCAAAGACGAGTCAGAGGCTAAGAACTGGGCCTCCTCTGAGAGGCTCTCGGGCCCTGGGGCACCTGTCCAGCTGTGGGATCCAAGGGCTCCTCAGTCACTTCAGGCAAGTGGATGGGTACAGGGAGGAGGGCAAAAAGGAGGAACAGGAAATGGGGGCATGAGGCCAGGTCCCTCAGTGGAGACCCCAGGGACCTGCGGGCTGGGGCTGGGGGCAGGTGGTCTGGGGGAGCAGCCCTACCTGGGGTCTGGTAGTTGAGCCTCCTCATCTCCACAGGGTCAGAGGAGTGCGCCAGCAAGGAGTCCTTCAGCCCAACTGACTGCTCATCCTTGGACGACGGAGAATGGGTCCTTTTCCTGAAGAGGCAGAAGGATGGTTGGTGAGAACCCAAGGTCCAGATGGAGAACAGGGTCACACGGTGTGGCCAGCTGCCACAGAGCCCTTGTGTCCACGGCTCTGTCCCCCCTAACGCCCCACCTCATCCTGGGGGTCTCTGAGCATGGAGGAGCCAGGGGCAGAGCAGCTTCAACATGTAAAACACAGGGTGTCGGGGGGAGACAGCAGGAGTGGGGAGTGGACAGAGGGCCAGTACGGTGAGGGAGGAAGGGGTCGCGGAGGCTGGTGGCTCCTCCCAATAGAGGGCACTGCTGGGCAGTGGCTGCTATCCCCAAGGCAGCAGGAGCCACCAGGAATAAACATGCAAACGACACATAAGATACGCCAACATCACAGAGATCTAGGCCCCAGCCATGCGGCTCTGGGTATCGGTCAATGCCCAGAGCAGCAGGGGAGGGACGGGGAAGGTGTCACCCGAGCCAGGCAGAGTCCTCTCTCGCTGGCCTCTGCTCGCCTGTCTACAAGGACAGGGTCAGAGACAGACCACGGGGTCCAGCTGCTGACAAGTATCCAGGGGCCGCTTCTGCTGGGCGGACATGGGTGTGTTTGGGGAGGAAGAAGCTGTGTGAGTGTGCCTGAGTGTGTAGCAGCACACACTTCCCTGCTGCCTGGCTGCCTGGCAGCTGGTGCTCTTTGCACGTACAAAATGCTGTCTCCTGCAGCACTCAGGTAATCTCAGAGCTGGGAGCCGGTGGAAGGCTCTGGTGAGCTCAGAGTCAGCCTGTGCACGCAGGGGAAGCATCGGAAGTTTGCACTGTGCCTGCGCCCTGGAGCAGGGCATCCCTGGTGCAGGTACAAGTCCAGAGAGGGACAGAGCCCGCCCCAGAGCCTGCTGAGCAGACTGGACAGCCACAGGCCAGGAGGCTTCCGGTCAAAGCACCGCCCCTCCCTACTGGGCCCGCACTGTGCACAGGGATAGGAAGTGAAGGAAGAGGCGTGTGAAGAGAGAAGGAAGGACTCGTACCTTTCTTGTTTACTAGGTCCCGAGAGACAGGCAAGGACAGAAGAAAGGAACGGTCACTGTTTCCGCCAAGCACTCAGGCCCTCTCGTGACATGGGGGACACTGCGGGACCTATCTACGGTACCCACATGGCATCCACAGGGAGGAGAAGCCTCTCCTGCAGACGCCAGGACCCAGATGGGAGTGGGAAAGAGAATGAGTGCGTGTGGGGGACACCCCTCAGGTTCCCCACCCACAGGTCTCCGTGGCCTGGACAAGGAGAGCCTGTCTCCACTCACCCTGGGAGGAAGGAGTCACTGGGTCCAGGTCAGGGGTCAGGAGTCGGGGCAGGGGAGAGATGGGGCACAGAGCATGAAATCATACATGGAGACGTGCTCAGACATTCGGAGCAGCACACATTCACTGACAAGCATTCACTGACATGTCTTGTGGGCTCGGCCTCGTGCTGGGTGCCCAGCGATGTGCCCAGTGAAGCATCACTGGGGCAGATGGGGGACAGTGTGGGGAAGAGGTGGGGGCCCAGAGAGCCTCGTGGGCACCAGAGCCTGGAAGGGAGCCTTGAAGGATGAAACGGCAGTTGCTGGGTGGGCAACGAGCAGCAAAGCTGCAGAGTGGAGGGCACCGCTCCAGCCGGCGGAGGAGCTGCATTAGTTCAGTTGACGATGTCGGGAGTGGGGCAGGGACCAGGCTGGCCAGGCGTTTGACTGTCAAGTTACAGAGGTCAGGCTTTATCTTGTGAGCCACTAAAAAGTGTTATACCAAGGGTGAGAAAGTTAAATCTTCGGAAATACTTTTCAGGCTGGGAGGTAGTTGCATAGGAAGGGGAGAGGCCAAGAGCAGGTGGCTGCAACTACCTGGGGGAGAGAACTGAGAAGCGCTGTGTGCCAGGGCCCCGGCGACGCCTGCATGTGCATTATCTTCGGGGAGCCCACAGTGGGGGGGAAGAGGAGCAGATCCAGCAACATTCGGGATAGGACTCACGGGAGACTGAGAGGAGTGAGAGGGAGGAGGAGGGGTGACAGTGATACCCAGGTTTCCAGTTGGCAAACAAGGTGGATGGCCCCGTCCCTTGCAATGAGACCGGGGAGGGGGGTTGTGGGAAAGGTTCAAGACACACTGAGTCTGGGGCAGCTGTGGATGCTGCAGTCACAGCAGGCACTCCTTAAATGACTGCCAGATGAAGGTCTGTGGGCCTGTAGCTCGGAGTGGAACTCTCTAGGCCGAGGCAGGAGAGCCAGGCTGAGGAAGGTCTAGGAAAGGTGGCAGAGGAAGTGCTGATGGTAGGAGACCAGGGGAAGGCAGTGTCTTGAAGCTGAGAGACAGACACACATCCACCGAAACACAGAGACAGATGGACAGACGTGCCCGGGGATGCATGTGAACCAGACCTCTGTGAAGCTTCGGCTGCTCATCACACTAGGCTAATACACACACACGTGCACACATACTGCTTCTGCTCTTCCTGGCTTCCCACAGAGCCCAGGGTTGCAGGCCGCGGTGGCTGCCCCGTGCCCACGTGTACCACGTCCAGGGAGGGCCTGAGAGTCCAGGGGCAGGTAGCCGTCCCCCAGAGCCCTGAACGCAGCACTCACCTCTTGAACAGGAGAATGGCGATGACAATGAGGATGATGAGGATGACCGCCAGGACGGGGCCCGTCACCCACAGCATCTCTGGCTCCTCCTGCTGCTGGGCTGGTGTCACCTGGACCACGATCTCATCAGAGTAGGGGCTGGAGGCATAGCGCTTCTGTGGCCCAGTGGAGGAACAGCACGGGCAGTGAGCTGGGTGTGAGATCCCCCACCCTCTGCCCACCAAACCTGGAGGAAGGGCTCTGGAGGCGGGTTATGCTGGGCTGGCTGGGCCTGGTCTCCTGGACCCTAAGAGGCTGACCTGAACCGGGTCAGCTGACTGGGTTCTAAGAACTGGTGTCTTGAGATCTCTAGTGCAGGTCTGGGATCTCTGGGGCTGCCCTGGGCCTGGGATCTCATGGTATTTGAAACTGGCCTAGTCTCAGGTTGGGCCTGGGGTGCTGAGAGCCCAGGCGGCTCAAGCAAACCTGGTCCACGGGCTCCTTCAGGGAGGCGAGCACGAAGCACTGGTAGCTCAGGTCTGGAGACAAGGGCCGGTTATAGAAGCCCTGGTAGGTCTTCTTGTCCCCCAGGGTGAAGGTCTCAGGGAGCACGTCCACCTGAGCAGCCACGTAGGGCTTCAGCCGCTCTGCCTGCCGCCGCCGGCGCCGCTCCCCAACGCCCTGCTCGATGGCCTCTAGAAGCTGACAGAGCAGATGTGGGAGTCACGCCGGGCCTCGGAGCATGCAACCCTGGGCCGAGATGAGGCTCACCTTCTGTGTGAGGGGCCTGAGCTGGGCTTGACCTCTGTACCCACAGAATGACACCGGACACCAGGCACAGCAATGCCACTCCTCCCTGCCAACCCAGTAGGAACAGGAGCCTGGGGACCTGCCCCTCACCCCCACCAGAGAGGGCTGGTTCCGCACCGCTGAGAGAAGAGGATGCAGGATTCCACATGCCCTGGGACTCCACTCCAGCCCTCCGTGGCCTCCAGACCTCGGGACACTCAAGTCCACAGGGCTCAGGAGCCTCTAGACCTGCAGGGACAACTCTGCTTCTTCCTACCCCAGGGGATCCTTGGAACCCCCCCCAGGGGATTCTCTGTAAAGCCTCAGGAGTTCTCTGAAAACTCCCAGGGGGCCACCTCAGAGTCCCTCTCCTCAGAGAGGGGCAGGCTGCCAGCCAGAGCAATTCTAATTTGGGAGAGTCACTGGGGCCACAGCCAACCAGTGCAATGGGCTGTCATTAGTGCCGCCCCATCCCTTCCCCAGGCACCTCGTCCAGCTCCAGCTCCTCAGGGGTGCTCCATCGCGGGGCCAGCATGCTCCCGCCCACACGGTCAATGGGCACCACCACGATGTAGAACCACCTGGGCAGGTAGAGTGGGAATCAGCTGTCACCGCCATGCTCGCGTTGCCAGCCCTGTCCCCATCCCGAGGCCTCGTCTGCACACCTGACGAGCGAGAGGTCCTGCACGTGGGGCATGGAGAGGGTGAAGCGGCCGTCCTCTATGTAGGCAGAGGCAAGCAGCGGCTTGTGTGGCAGAAGGTCAGGGGCTGTGCGGATGGACACCAGGTGCTGCAAGCCCCCCGCACTGCTGCCACGGTTCATCAGCACAAACGAGTACTCTGTGTTCGGCTGCAGGTCTGCGATCAGCTTCCGCATCGAGTGCCCGTCCACCTCCACACTCTGCCCGTTGTACAGAATCTGCAGAGGAGGGGGGCAGGCAGCGCATTTGGGTGAGGTTCCCCATCACGGGCCTGCGGGGCAGAGCACCTGCACACACCTAACCAGGATGCTGCGCCACAAACGCCCACAAATGTGACTGGAATGACGGCCCGCAGCAGGTCCGCATTTGTGCCGGGCTCTGCTGGTCAGGACCCACACCCACCTTGAAGGGGACGGTTGACTTGTAGGAATCAGGGACCTCCCAGCTGAGCAGCACAGACGTCTTCATTGCGGCTGCCACACGGAAGTTCTTGGCAAACACTGCAGAACATAAGCAGGGAGTCAGCTCTGGCTGTGTAACCAGCGTGGGGTGAATGGGCCTGAGGGGCTCCCTGCCAGGAAGAGACACTGGTCGGGGACAGCAGCAGAGGACCAGGCATCCCCACTCCCAGCCTGCTTCAAATCACACACGTTCGGCTCCCAAACCAAGCTCTTCATCACGGTGAGCACCAAGCTGGGGCAGTTGCCACAGGACCCCTGGTCAGGATCTCCCGAAGTGCTTGGGTGCTCGGAGACACCAGGTCAGAGTGCCCAGAGGTCAATGGGACTCGGTCATGAGAAGCATGTGGCCGCACACCAGAGCATGGTGGAGCATGTCCACTAGAGATCAGTGGGTCATGGCCCCAAGAGATTAGTGTTGCACACCTGAGAACGGTGAGGCAGTCAAAAGAGACCAGTGGGTCAAGGTCACGAGAGATTGGAGAGTCACACAGCAGAGATCAGTAGGTCAGACAGCAGAGGTCAGGGGTCGCACACTGAGAACGTGAGACCCATTTGCTAGAGGTTAGTGGTCATGGTCATGAGAGACTGGAGGGTCACACAGCAGAGGCTGGTGGGTCACAGTCGCCATAGATCAGTGGGTCAAGGAGAGCAGAGTTCCCCAGGTGCAGGCACGTGCCCACAGCACACACCTTGCTCCACGGGCATGGTCCGGGACTGGATGCTGGGGCTGAGTGGGCCGGCGCCTTTGCTGGTGCGTGCGCGGACCTTGACATCGTAAGTGGTGTCTGGCTTGAGGCCGGAGAGTGTAAGGTGGGTGTTGGCAGTGACGTTCTGCAGCTCCTGCTGGCTGTTGATGTCACGGTACACCACGGTGTAGTTGGTGATACGCCCGTTCCTCTCTGCTAGCACTGGGGGTTCCCAGGCCAGTTCCGTAGTGGAGATGGTCAGCCCTATCACACGCAGGTTTTGGGGGAAGCCACTGGGCACATCCTCAGGGGTTGTGATCTCCTTCTCGAACTCCTCGCCTAGGCCAGCCCGGTTCTTGGCAGCAAGCCGGAAGATGTAGGTGGCCCCCTTGTGCAGACTGGTGACCGTAAAGTGCTGGTCGTCCTTGCCAAAATCTATGGTGTTGGGCCTTGCCTCGTCGGCCCGGCGGTACTGCAGCCGGTAGCCCAGCAGCTCACCAGGCAGCTCCTTGGGTGGGTGCCACTGGAGCAGAGCGGTGTTCATGGCCGTGGTGCTGACCATCATGGTGGGCCGTCCTGGGACTGAACAACCACGCACCGGGCTCTGGCGCTGCCCTCCTTGCTGTCCCACCCACAGCTCTGTCCCTGACCCCTCACTCACCTGCCCCGGTCGTCGTGACAATTTTGGGTTTGCTGCGGGCACCATCCCCCTTGGTAGTGTAGGCAGCAACAGTAATGGAGTAGGTGGTCTCCGGGGTCAGGCCGCTGATGGTGGTTTCCTAAGGGAGGAGGAGGAGGGGCCCATTCCCATCACAGGAGAGCAAGGAAAGGCCAGACCATGCCAGCCACCTCAGGACCTTAGCTGAGGTGGGAGTCCCCTGGGCACTCAAGGCCAGAGGTCCTGGGATGGGGTGCTGTGCAATGCTGGACTCTGCTGGAGGCAGGGCAGGCAGGTGGGATGTGTGCCCAGGAGGAGCCCGCCCATCCCAGGAGCCGCAGCCCTGGGGCAGGTAGCTCATTCTTCCTTTCAGAGAAGAACAAAGGGCCACACTGTTCCTTCACTCCATTGTACTACGAATGACACCTCGTGAGGTCTGTGCACACATGACACACAGGGCACAGAGCCTCGCACACATGTAGTACCTTGCACAGCTCTTGACGCACATATGCATGCAGCCCATAGCTCCCTCCTGCAGGTGGAGAGCCACCTGCAGGTACTAATGCACATGCGCGCGCGCACACACACACACACACACACACACACACACACACAATGCGCGCGCGCGCACACACACACACACACACACACACACACACACACACACAGAGGACAGTGGAGGCGTGGGCCACCCTGCAGGACCAGGTCAGGACCACATCTGACCCCCATCTAGGTACTGGCTCCATGAACACCTTATGCCTTGCAATGCCTCCTGAGACAGGGAGGAGAGACCAAGAGAACAAGGAACCCCGACCCCGGAGAATGCACTTCCTCATTGTACCCAGTGATGCCTGAGAAATCAGCCAGGGCAGTGTCCCCCAGCCTTGGCAGGCCCTGCCCACGAACCCATCTCTAGCCAAGGCATCATTTCCAGACATGCGGAGAAACACCATGGGAGGCCAAGCCACACCACACAGAGGGAAGAGTGGGAAGAAGGGAGGGGACCACCGTGCAGTGGGAACAGAGCTGTCACCACCAACCCTGGTATCCCTCCAGCTCTGAGCCTCGGGTGGGGCCACTACAGATGCCAACAACCCCTCACAGGCCCCCTCCTGCCCCAGCTGGAGGGTCTCCCAGGGCTGGGGCTCCAGGAAGGCACCAATACTGGAACCTGGCTCCCCAAACTCCCCAACTCCTCTCCCAGCCTGGGCCCAGAAGCAGGTGATTTTTCACTCCAGGGATCAATAAGGCCTAATGATCAGGATTAGATTTAACTCCATCCCTGTCTGGCCAGAGCAGGGGCCAGGCCCTGGTCGATCGTGAACACCGGCTTGAAACTGCTGCTCGACAGGCGAGAAGTAAGGATTAGAGGAAGTGCCAATCGCTGCTCAGCCTTGTGCTCGCGTCTAAATGCCAATTTTCTCCGGATGTGGCTGGTGCCCTGTGGATCTTGGTGGCTCAGGCTAGGAGGAAAGGCGGGGGAGGGGGAGTGTCCCACGAGCCCAGCCTGACCCAGGTCTCGCCCGCGCTCGCACACCTGTTACTTACATAGTCCTCGGACTCCTCTGGCCGCCACTGACCGCGGAGAGAGAGAGAAAGGGAGACAGGAGGTGAAGGACTCTGGCCTAGAGGGGGCCTGGCCGGGAGAAGGCAGATGGAGGGGGCAGGCCTCTGAAGTGCCCATGGGGGTAGCACACCAGGACCACTCCCCATCCGAAGATCCCAGCCCCCGCCTCTCCAAGCCCAAATGTGTATGCCAGGGCTGAGGAGTGCAGGGAGACCTGGAGGGCAGACAGCCCAAAGAGTGGGAGCTCCATGGCACTGAGGGATCAGAGCAAGCCACCTGGAGCTGCTCTGAGGGAAAGGCCACCAGACACGGGGCGTGGGCTCGACAGTTCAGGCAGAGGGAAAACACTGAGGGATGAGCAGGGTGACTGTACACCCTGGTTTGCCTGACAGTCCTGGCCTCTGCTTGCTGTCATGGTATAATTATCCACAATGTCACCTTTCACTCTCAAAAGTATTCCAGTTGGGGTGACAGATTATACAGTTCCCCAGGCAGGAGGGTTGTTCCAGGAACAGCAAGAGCTGCACAGTGGCTGGGGGGCTGGGCGGGCAGGCTGGTCAGCAAGATGATGAAGGTATGAATGCCCCGCTCGGAGCCTGGGCCCTGCCCCACAGGCTCAGGGGAAGCACTCAAACCCCGGTTCCCTTCTGGGGTGCCTGAGGTCTCCTCAAGGTAGGAAGGCCTGTTTCAGGGCTGGCAATGTCGTTATTTCTTGGTACATCATTCTTTAGGCCATGGTGCACATAGGTGTACGAGCTGGATGAGTGGAGGGAGTGAGATCTCCATTCTGTGGCCCTGGGGCACGAGAGGGCTGGGGGCTGGCCAGTGTGCAGCACAGCACAGGGAGATGGACCATGACACCTCCAGGATAGAGGTACCATGGGCTCCTCCGGCCCAACCACCCCCGCAGTGCTGGTCTGGCCTCTGTCCACTGGCCCAAGTTCCTCCTGTTCTGGGAAGCTCTGCTGGAAAGTCCTCGCAAGGACCGTGGGACCGAATATGGGAAGAGGCCATCGACAGGTCCCTACTGGCCATGGCCACTTTCTAGGGTGGGGCTGGGCCCACCTCTGCTCTAGGTTCCTTGCCTGGGGGGAGACCCATGCTGCCCAAGGCAGGCCCGGGCAGGGACGTCCTCACAGACCACCTTTCCTGTGTCGGAGGCAGAGTGAGAAAGAAGAGAAAGAAAGACAAAGTAGGTGCAAAAGGGAGAGAGAGAGGACGGAAGGGAGCAGAGCAAAGGAGCAAAGAGAGAAGAGAATGAGACAGATAAAAGCACCATCTGTGGAGGGAGAGACAGGAACAGAGAAACGAAGTAAAAACAGAGCCCATGAGAAACGGGCAGAACAACACAGGGGGATGGAGTCGAGGCCGTGAGAAAGAGGCAAACCTGAGATGGAGACACACATAAAAAGAGACAGCTCTGGCTACACACTTGCAGGGGGCATGCACTCCATGGTTCTGCCAGAACTGATAGGGCCCTGGGCCGAGCAGATGGTGCTGCTGGGTGAAGAAGGACAGGCTGTGGTGTCCTTAACAGGGCGCTCAGGGGACAGCTGAGCCCTGTGGCCAGCCTAGGGACCAGGCCCCATCTGCTTTCCTGCTGGCTTGGAGCAGAATGACCCAGTCCCAAGGGGGCTGCATGGGCAGGCCCTCCATCTTCAGTTCGTTTCCCTGGAGCCTGGGCTCCTATTTACCCACCATCACGGGATGCCTGAGGCCAAGAAGGCAGCGTCCCGCCTATGGCCCAGCTCCCTCCAAACCACTTGGGACCAGAAGGGGGCACCCTAAGTGGTTTCTCTGGAACCCCTCTGGCTGCAGCTGTGCTGCTGGCCCCCTAGGAAGGGAGGGGCTGAAGGGAGCCCATTCTCGGGATGTTTCTGGGTGGGTGTGTCTGCTGAGGCTCCAGGAGGAACCCTCAACCTGCCCCAGGAATGCAGGCGGGTACACATGCCCGCCGCCTCCACCCTATGCTCTCTCAGCACTGAGCAGGCTGAGAGGAGGAAGAGGGTACCCTCTGGGCAGAAAGGAATTTTGCTGCAGAGGGCTGAGCCCAGCCAGAGGCACAAAGACCCTGTCGCCTATGTGAGGGAGTCCATCCATAAGCACAGCACATAGAACACGAGGTGCGTGCTTGCACCTCGGATCCCAGCCCAGGTAAGGGTGAAAAGCTGGATGAAGAGGGCGTGTGGGTTCTGGAGGGAATCTGGGCTGACTGAGTGCTGCCCCCTATAGATCTCCACCAAGACCCTGATTCTGCACGGGGAGACCTTGAGAGCAGACCACACCAGGTGTTATGACTCTTCGGCAGAGTAATTTGGGAAGGAATTTGCAATTATAGCCCTTTCCCAGGAGTCCAGCGACTTGGCTTCGTATCTAAGCTCAGCCACCCACTTATTGGGAAATTCCGGACCACACGACCTCCGGTACCCCAGGTTCTTCATCTGAATAGCAAACCGGTGCTGGTAATATCCCAGGGACCTCACCCCAAGCTCATAGGCAGAATCATCGTCCTTGGAGGACAGAAGCACACAGAGGGAGACGTGAAGCTGGCTGGCAGGCCCAGACCTTGAGAGTAACATCAGGGGCTGAGCCATCCTCCTGGGGGCCAGGTGCAGAGCAACACCCCAGCTTGTCCCTTCAAAGAACTCTGCGATGGCCAAGGGCCAAGTGAGGGGAAACCACTGCCCAGGAGTGCTCTTCCTGCCCCGGGCTGTGGGAGGAGTGGCTGCCTAGCCCAGCTCTGTCAAGGAAGAAGGCACATCTGGAAAGCCCAGCCTAACTGACAGCAAATGTGCTTCCCGAAAACCACAAAGGAGGGCTTGAGGGAGCTGAAGCCGGGGCTGGGAGTAACAACGGAGGCCTGGGGCTGTGTAGACAGGGCTCCTCACAGCTAGTGCTGGTGGCTGAGCCACAGAGGTGACTGCCAGGCTGTGACTGTCACCAGGGCAGATGGGGCCGGCAGGGCCTGGGTTGGCACGGCTTAGGCAGACTCAAGACAGAGAGAGTGTTCCCAGAACCTGGCCCTAACCGCCTGGTCTCAGGGCCTCCCAAGCCAACATAGTGGGATGTCTCTGTGTTACAGTCCATCCGAGGGCAGGAAGGGGAGGGAAGCAAACCTGGGCTCCAAAGAGGAAGTAGAGCGTGCTGGTCTCACCCACTGTCCCCCCGCAGCACAGCGCCCCCATGCCCGACCTCCCAGTGGCACACCTGGGCCTCGGCCAGCATGACATCCTGGATGATGGGTGGGCCACGGGGTTCACCATTCTCTAGCCGCACATAGGTGACCTGATAGCCGCGGATCTGGCCGTGCTGTTTGCTGGGGACAGGCAGCTTCCAGGAGACGCGCACAGAAGTGGAGTTCAGTGGCTCCACTTCCACCTTCCGCGGTGGCCCGCTGGGCACTGGGGACCAGGGAGAGAAGGAAGTCAGGCCTGGTGGTATGGATCCCATCTCAGGTGGGCACAGCACACTCCAGGACCTTGCCTTTGCCCCCCATTGCCCCAGGAAGGGCCCTGATGTAGTTTGCTTAGATTGTCTCTCCCTGGAGAGGAACATGGAGGGCTCCTTCTGCCTGGCATGCAGAAGAGCCCAGGACTGGCCCTGCCAACCCCTCTGGCCCAGAGCTACCTCACTTGGTGGGGAAGGGAGGGCTGGGGTACCAGGCCTTTGACCATCCCAAAGTCAGCACAACCTGTCCTATCTCCTCTTGGGCCCCCAGATCATGCCAACGTCTAGCTAAGGTGGAATCTCGCTGATTCTATTTTGAGTGTCTCTTGCACCAATCTTTCCAGTCTTGACCTCCCAAACCTTAGGTGGGGTTGTTTCTGTCTTAAGCCTGTTAAGGCTCCATCTGCCTTAGAGACACCTCAAAGGCTGGGATTCGGGTATAAGGGGTCCCACAGCTACATCTCCCCATTTGGGCCATTAAACCTGCACCAGGAAGATGAGTCCTCTGGGCTTATGTATGGGAGGCAAAGGCCCTGGTGTGTGAGGTGGGTGGTGTCTGAGTGAGGTGACTCCCCTCCCACCCCTCCCCTCGGCGCCACCGCCTACCGTCCTCGTCTGTGCGCACCAGCACCGGGCTGCTCTCGGGGCCGGGGCCCACGTCTGTGTGCGCCCGCACCCACACCCGGTACTCCGTCCACTTCTCCAGGCCCACCAGGTCCCAGCTGGAGTGCTCGCGGCTGATGCCGTCCACCACATGCCGCCTGCGGTCCTCGCCGTCCACCGCCTCGTAGGCCACCGAGTACTGGGTGATGACGCCGTTGCGGCTGTCGGCCGGCGGTGGTACCCAACTTACCCGGACCGTGGTGGAGCCCACGCTCACACATGTCACCTTCTGGGGAGGGGCGGAGGGGGCTGGGGAAGACAAATGGGGGGAAGCAGGCAGATGGAGGGTGGGGGTCACAGGCACGGCGACCAGTCACAGAGGCTGGGACACTCACCCAGGCAGGCTGCTCCCCAAGCGCAGAATGGCTATCCCAGGGCCCTCCAGGCAGGCTGCCGCCACTGCCACCAGACAGCCCACTCCCCTGGAACACAGGCTCTTCACACACACACACGGTGTCTCCCACACACGGTCTCTCCCACTCACATATGGTGTCTCTCACACATATGGGGCTCTGACACAGTGCTTCACATATGAGACATGCTGTCTTGCACAAAAGGCACACGGCATCAGATACACACAAGCATGGGGTCACCCCCACCGCCACCCCCTGGTCACACACACACCCACACATGAAGAACCTCTCCAGCTGCTGTGCCCACAGCTCTTCTCTTCTCAGGACAAGTGGCCCCAAAGGCTCTTCCAGCACAAGGCTGCCTTGGCCTGTGCCTGCCTGGACGGGGTGTCTGTGTCTGAGCCTCAGGGAACCACGGAGACTGGAGGCCAGACCTGAAGGAGGCCACTGGCCCTGGAGGTAGTTTGGAGAAAAAGTACCCGAGAGAGGTGCTCTCACTCAACAGGTTTCTTGGGGGTTAAGGGGGTCTGTGCCCACCTTGTTCCCACATCCCCCTATTCCCACTGAGGATTCTGCTGTCATTGCATGGGCTTCCTCACCACCTCAAGGTCTATCGCCACCCCCACCCGGGTGACTCCAGCAGCCCCCTCAACTCACTGGCCCCTGAGCCCCACACCTCCAAGGCTTTCTCCTTCCCTGCACTACCAAGATCATGCCTGGATAACGCCACCACTGGGAATGGCCCTACCTCCCAAACTGTGGCCTCCAACGTCCCCTTGCAGACCCTCACCCTTGTCCCAGCTCAGCATCTCACAGTGCCCCCAGCACTATGCCTGCTCTTCACCCCCTGGGGACCTCCATCCATCGACCTACCACCCTTACCACCCTCCACATTCAGCTTAAGACACCAAGGTCCACCATCTCACCACTCCTACCAACATCCCAAACTCCCTCGCCTCCTTCTTGTTCCATGCTCCTGCCGGGCACGCACCAAGCTCTGAACCGATCCAACTCTCTACCTTCTCCAAGGCAGCACTGGGACAAGTAGAAAAAAGTCACCTGCCCAGACAGGCTGGCACCCTCTGAACACATCCCTGTGGCCTCACCTGGGCCCTCCAGGCTGCCAGCTGGTCTCTTTCTCTGCCCACTCCCTCTGTTGCTTTAAACAGAATGCTTTCTACCTCCTCCACGCTCCTCAAGCCTCTAGCTCCATCACCTCCCTTCCTCTCAGCGCACGGCCGGCTCTCCTACTGGGCGGAGAAAAGCAAAGACTCCCAACAGCAGCTCCTCCACCTCTCGCTACCAAACCCATCAACCGACCTGTTTGCACCGATTCTCTCCTTTCCTCCCCAAGAAGGAGCTCTCCTGTCCCAGGCCAATCTCTCCCCCCGCCGGTGCTCTGCCCTCTCCCCCAACCTCCTGAGCCTCTAATTATCTTTCTCTTTTCCATATCTTCTACTTCTCCCTATTAACTTGTTCCCAACAGCATTTGAATATGCTCAAGACTTTCCCATCTTAGAAGACAAATGGCGTCCTCAGCCTCCACCTCCCCCAGTTACAGCGGTCCCCTCCCCAGCTAAACGCCCAGAGTCTGAGTTCTCTGTCTCTACTTCCTCACCTCTCATGCACACCTTGCAAAACCCAATCGGCTTCAGTCCCAAAACTTGTCCAGGTCCACTCCTCCACGTTACTAGATCCAATGACACTCCCACATTCCTCTGGGCCTGACCACTCAGCAGCAGCATCTGGTTTACTTGAAACTCTCTTCTTCCAACCTCCCAGACACTTCCCCTCTCCTGGGTTTCCTCCCATCACTGGGCATCCTTCTCATGGTCCTCCACCTGCAGCCCAGGCCCTGGATCCCGGCAGCCTGCCAGGCATCCCAACTGGGACAGCATACGGCATCTTGAGCTTGGGTACCTGCCTCTGTCCCATTTCCTACCCTAGGGAGCTGCACCACTTTCCTCCCAGGTCTACACACCAGAAACACAGGATTCGGATGCTGCTTGCCTCTCTCTCAGCCCCCACACCTCATCCGTCACCAAGTCCCAGCCAGCTGGCATCCCAGGCAGCTCTCAAATCTACCACCACCTCATCTGAGCCGCCATCTTTCCCTGGACTCCTGCAAAGCCTCCTATCTGGTCTCCGGCGTCCTGTCGGGCTGCCCGGTGCATCCTCACACAGCAGCCAGTCAGCCCGCCCTCCCGCCTCTCCTCTGGTCCTGAGGCCTGCCTGCAGGGGTCTGGCCACACTGGCCTGCTGCTCACCCCTGCCCATAACCAAGCACCTTCCTACTCCAGGGTCTTGGCACCTGCTGACCCCTGCCTCAGGCCTCTGTGTCACCCACAGAGACCCTCCTTGTCTCCTCAGACCAGAAAAGGTTCCTGTCCCATCATCTCTCTACTGTTTGCCTCCTCCACAGCACTTTACACAAATGTAATTAAAAGCTCGTTTGGATAATTGCGGGTTTAATGGTTGTCTGCCCCACCAGACTAGGATCCCCGCAGGCGGAGGCCACGTCAGGGTTGTGCTGCTGGCCCTGCACAGTGCATGGGGCCTAGTGCCCAGCAGGAGTGCAGTGGGTACTTGCAGAATGAATCCATGAGCATCAGGGTCACACACAGGCCTCCTGACATCACTGACACATGCTAGGGCAGGAGGACACAGTCCCATGTCACAGGGACCACCTCACAGACACTGCCGTGTTTAAGGTCATCACACGTGCTCAATGTTTTGATGCCGAGATCCCACGCAGCCACATGCACACGGCCCATTATCACACGGAGCTTCACGGACTGTGGTCTGGTGTGGCTGTGTGACTGCGACAGCCCGCGGCCTCACAGTCTGTCGTCGGGAGAGCTGCTAGAGGCCCATACACTGGGGCGTGGGTCAGTTATCCAGAGACATACTCCCTAGGTCCCGATCCTAAAGAGCCTTACAGACCCGATCAGAGAGGCACACCAGTCGCACTGCACACACATACAGGTGCTGCCAGGCCAGGTGGTCAGATGTGGTCACACACACACTCACGACATCAGTCTCACACACGCAGGAATTCAGTAATACATAATGCCACCAAGTTGTCACACAAACGACCTCGCATGTGGTCCCACACATGGCTAGCCATGTAGTCCCAATGTGTGCACATGGACACAGTTGGTCACACAGTGTCACTCTCACAGACGTGTCCCCATGTGCAGTTGGCTCAAGTGTGATTACACAGCCCACACGTACTTCTCATGGTGGGGGGACAGGAGGTAGGGAATATGGGTGATGGGGGAGATGAGATGTGGGGATAAAGGACGGAGGACGGCCGCCAAAGCAGGTGTGGGACGTGGCGAGCATGGCGGTCCCACCACTGACAATGGCCCAGTCAGCTATTGTGACTAGCACAGAGTAGGGTGGAGGAAGGAGATGAATGACAGACACAGAACTTACCTGAGGGTGGGGAGGGATGGGGGAGAGGCAGGAGTCGGGCAAGGAGCAGCGAGGGAAGCAGCCATCTGGACACAGACTAGAGGGCACTTACCTGTCCCTCTCTTGGGGTCCAGACCCAGAGCCCAGACTAGAGTCCAGTCCAGGGCCGAGCAGACCCAACCACCCACTTGGTCAAGGGGAGGGGTGTGTGTGTGTCTGTGTCCCAACCCAGCTGTAGCAGGCAGTGGCCTCAGGAGACACTTACTGGACTGTGCCGTGCGGGCCTCAATGGTGGGGGTGAAGACGCCCACGCCCAACTCAGAGCGGGCAGCCAGCTGGAAGCGGTACAGCGTGTCAGGCTTCAGGTCCTCTAGAGTGTAGGAGGAGGTGGGGTCGAAGGTCACCTTGTGCTGGAAGAGCAAGGAGCACTCACTGGCTACTCTGACCTCAAAGGTCACTCAGAGGTTATTCCCCAATATGGGCTGCAGCTGACCCTCCAGACCGACTGTGGCTCCAAAGCTGGCTCCATGCCACACAGTCACCTGGACCCAAAAGGGCCGCATGGCCCAGTCCATGGCACAGGTGCCTCACAGACTACATGGCCATGGGACATCTGGGACACATGGTCCCAGGGGAACTTTAGGGCTCTGCTGGTGCCACCCGAGCCTCAGGGCCTGAGACCCAAAGATACACCAGGGACTTTGCCACGGGCACAAGGGTGACAGACTATAGAACAATACAGGCCACATGAGCTGCAAAGCCAAGAAGAACCCTAGGGGCTGTGCCCACACGACCACAGAAATCCAGAAAAGCATGCCTGGGTGAGCCCACCACAGACCCTTAGGCACCAGGAGGAGCCCTGCACCCTTCTCTTTGTCCCTGCCGGGCACTCACCTGCTGGCCTTCGTCCTCTGCCGCCCAGTACACCAGCTCATACTTGATGATCCGCTCCTGCGGGGGCAGCAGCCATGAGAGCTGGATCCTGGTGTCTGACTCCGCCTCGGCCTGGAAGTCCGCAGGCTGGGCAGGCACTGCAACAGCCCCACAGCAGCGCCATCAGCCTCACCAATCCCTCTTGAGGGCAGGGGCACTCAGGAAAAGGACCCAGATTCTCACTCCCACACCTTTGTCCTGCATCCCAAGTGACCACGCGTCTGTGGAAGACAAGTCCTCACCCTCCCAGCGCCCCCAAGCTCACAGCCTGAGCAAGGGCGCGCCACCACCACCTTGCCCAACCCAGCTCTGCAGCGGCCGTCCAGCCAGCACGCTGCCCACACCTACCTCCCTGCTGCGTCTTGACCTGGATGGTGGGGCTGGGCGGGCCGTCGCCAACGGCGGTGAAGGCCAACACGCGCAGGCTGTAGGTGATGCCAGGCAGCAGGCTGCCCACGGTGGTGAGGAGTCCTGCGTCTGTGTTGTGCTTGTGCCAGGCGCTCAGGGGGCGGCGGGAGTCAGGAGTGTAGTAGACGCGGTAGCCCCGCACCAGGCCATTGGGCTCCTCAGGTGGCTCCCATTGCACCAGCATGGTGCTGGCGCTCAGCATGCGTGCCTGCACGCGGCGCGGTGGGCTGGAGGGCGCCTGCTCCCCAGTGCGGGCCCGCACCGCCTCACTGGGCGGCCCTCGGCCGATGCTGTTCACTGCCAGCACGCGGAAGGCATACTCTGAGAAAGGGCTAAGGCCACCGATGCTGTAGCGGGTGGTGGCCACGCCATCCACTTCCTGGAAAGGGCCCTCTGTGCCTGCTGCACGGTACTGGATGCCATAGTAGGACACGGGCTCCGAGTTCCCAGAGTCCCATGTCAGGGTGACACTGGTGGCAGTCGTCTCCGTCACTACAAGGTCAATTGGAGGCTTCGGCAGAGCTGGGGACAAAGTGGAAGGCTTAGGGCTGCCCAAGGTCATGACTCCCGGAGCCAACCCTGCTCATGGGGTCATCCAACCAGAGTGTGGTTGACCCCACAGCCTACCCTGAAGAATGGTCTGGTAAGCTCTGGTGATCTCTGAAGGCACCTAGTGGGGGATGGTGACTGGGCCTGTCAGTGCCCCCAGGGGCCTTGGGGGATCTAGCGTCTACCCACGTCACTTCTAGAACTCAGTGGATCCTCAGTAACAACAGACCCAGAGGTGCTGTGGCCTGCCCATACTCCATGCCGATGGAAAGCACACGGGCTGGGCAACAGAGATCTGCCGCTGCAGGTGCCTGCGCCCCCTGTTGGTGAGTATGTGTGACGGGGCCAGGGAGGGGGATGACATTTCCTAAGGGAATGGCCCTGGATTTTGGAAAGAGGATGAGGCTGCTGGCCCCATGGACCTGGTGGCTTGGCTCAAATCGAAGGTGGAAAAGTCCCAGGCGAAGCAGGACCCAAGTGCCAGCACTGTGCCAGGGCTGAGGACACTATGTCACACGGACAGTCACACCCCTGCTCTCAAAGAGTTTATATTCCAGTGTGAGACAGAAGCAACCAATGAGTGATAATCTCGATTCTAGTCTGTGCAAGGACAGCAGAAAGCAGGGTGCTGAGATGGGGAAAAATCCAGGGAATCTCCTTGTATGTGGTGATTGGGGAAGGCCTCAGAGTTAAGACCTGGAGAGCAAGATGGAGCCAGAGATGGCAAGGGCTGGGTGAGGAGCGCAAGGGCTAGGTAAGGAGCCTGGTGAAATGGAGAAGTGTCCATGTGGTGAGGGAGGGAGGCCACAGTGAGGACCCTGGGCTTTATCCTAAAAGCAATGGGAAGCCAGTGGAAGGAATTTCTCCCTTTCTTAAAAGGGAGTGACATGATCCTGCTTTACATTTTTTTTTTTTGAGGAAGATTAGCCCTGAGCTAACTGCTGCCAATCCTCCTCTTTTCGCTGAGGAAGACTGGCCGCAAGCTAAGATCCATGCCCATCTTCCTCTACTTTATATGTGGGACGCCTACCACAGCAGGGTGTCCCAAGTGGTGCTATGTCCACACCCGGGATCCGAACTGGTGCACCCCGGGCCGCTGAAGCGGAACGTGCACACTTAACCGCTGTGCCACCAGGCCAGCCCCTACATTTTTAAAAGATCATTCAATTGTAGGATGGAGGATGGACAGGGAGGCGAGAGGGGAAGCAGAGAGCCCACAGGAGGCTATGTATGTGTGCCTGTCCCAGGACTCTGGCAGAGAACTCACGACCCCCTTGGCTACTATTTCACGACATCTTTCTTGCTGGGAGGCAGGTAAACCTGAGAGGCTACTGCTATGTAGCGGCTAGGTAGCCACACAAGTCCCTACTCCAGCATTTTCTTCTGTGTGGCCCTGCACCTCAATTCTCTCACTTGTAAAATGGGGATGACAAGAGCATCTACCTCCCAGGGTAACACAGACACTGAACAAAGTAATCTGAGCTTGCCAGGGCAGAGTCTGGCCCCAGGAACTTGGTACCTGTCAGCTATTATGTTAATACTATTAACGGCAGAAACCCCTCCCTCCACCACTGAGGGCCAGGAGAATGCCAGAGCCTGGGCACCCAGGAGAGAGCAATGACCACTAGGCCTTGCCTGTCCGCACAGTATCCATGCTCGCCTGCCACGGGTGCTGGGACCTCCTGTTGCCCTCTGACACAGGGCAGGCCACAGGCCACTGCAGGCATGTCTGAGGCACTCACCTTTCACTGTGACCTGGGCCGTGGCCTCAATCATGCCTAGCGAGGAGATGGCCACGCAGGTGTAGTTGGCAGAGCGCACGACGTTGTTGAGCTCCAGCACATTGCGGCCAACTGGCATCTCGTCCTCCTTGGTGAGCTCCTCAGCCCCCATCATCCATTTCACATAGGGCATGGGCGCACCCACCGCGACGCAAGTCAGGTTCACGCTGCCGCCCGGCATCACCTCCTGGCTGCTGGGAGGGATGGAGAAACGAGGAGCCACACGGCGCACTGTGGGAGGAGGGAGAGAGGCACTCATAGGGTGGGCAGGACACGAGGGAGGATGGAAGGGCAGGGGCCCCTCATCCAGGAAGTCCCTCTTGTCAGAGCCAAACCCACCTCAGAGACAGGATGGGCAGAATCCCTGGGTCCTGGTTTACCATCTCCCACCCCACTTTGGGCTACAAGTAGCCCCCATACTCAGGGATTGTCTGGAACACAAGAGATTCCACAGCCAAGTTCCCATTTTACAGCCCAGGAAACTGAGGCCCTGAAAAGTCCTGACTACCTAGGGTCAGACAGGGACTCAGTGCAAGGTCCAGGCCTCATGTCTACAATCCAGGCCTAGTCAGGGCCACATCCCAGGTTGCAGTCCAGTGCTCTCCCCTACCTGCTCCCGACCCCTCACCCCCCACCAGGGTCTCCAGAGGGGTTAGCTGGGGCACCAGTGAGAGAAACCCAGGCAACCCAGGGTGGAGGGTCCTCTGAGCATGGCTGGGGAAGGGCAGAAGGTCAGTCCAGGTGTGACATGGCCACCTTCTCTAGAGTCACTGCCTCCACCTCCAGGCCATGATCCGAGAGCAAGAGATGAGGTCAACGGCATGACTACCTGCTGGGACCTCAGCCATGCTCAAGGCACAGCCTGGGAACCCAAGAGGAGAGCCACACCTCAGGGGGGCTGGGCAGGGACAAAGGGCTGGGGCGGGCCAGGGACGTGGTCCGCGGGCAGGATGGGCATGACGATGGCGGTTAACATGATGACGGCGCCGAACAGACGGCTTTCCGCGCCAATGAACAAGGGTCTCAAGGGGGAGGGTGGCTGTGCCTGACCACGACCTCCAGCCTTGGGCTCCCCAGGTCAGAAGCTATTCTGAGCTTCTCAGTCCAAGGTGCAGCCTGGAACCCCCACCAAGTTGCAAGCTTGGCACAGACATTCAGAACATGCAGAGGGAGGGCAGGCAGGCAAGACCTAGCCATGGGCAGGCATGCTCAGCATGCAGACGGGTCATGCAGCTGGTGGGCAGGGACTGGGGTGTGTCCTTCGCAGGCCGGAGAAGGCAGGCAGTGAGGCTAAGTGACCAGAGGGCACCACCAAGAGTGTGGGTCTCTGAGGACCCTTGCTGGGGAGCCTAAGCATGCAAAGGACCCGTGGTGCAACATGAGAGCACCTCTGCTGCTCACACAGCCCCAAACCACAGAATCCGAGCTGGAAGCAACTGCAGAGACCACCTGGTCCGACCTCTGACCTCACTGCACAGGGGTCAAGCTGAGGCCCAGCGACCAGACACCCAGCAGATCATCAGTCCTGTTAATGCACTGCCTAAAATATCTTCCAAGCCCACTAATTTCACTCCGTATCCACGGGCAACTGCCACCACCACCTTTCCTTGGATCACTGCATCGGGTTCTTCGCTGTTCTTCCTGCCCTGTCCTCTGGGCCCCTGCTCCCATGACCGGCCCTCCAAAAACAGCTGGCACAAATCTGCTCACAATACTTCCCTGTGAAAGACTCCTGCACAGTTCCCCAACGACTCCTCAGCCCAGACCGCAGGACCCCACCTTACTCAGCCCCTGCCTCAGCTCCATCCCCACCACCTCGCTCTGAGGCCTCCAGACGGAGCCAAAACACGGGCAGTCCCCCCAGAAGCAGGCACGATGGCATCACGGGCCAGGTCTATCTCCCTCTGTGTCCCCAGGCTCACTTGAGGTCTCAGCGTGTCTCGTGGACATCCAGCGTTCTGCCTTCTCGAACTGGCATCCTCATCTTCTTTGGGGAACCACCTCTTCTCCCATTCTGGCTACATGGAGCGTGTGACCCAGACGTGGCTATTGAGATATAGCCTTTGGACTTTTGCAAAAACTACTACAACAGCGACTCTCTCTACTGCAGTGGCTAACCTTAGGGGGACTGGGAACCACCTTTGACAACACCTGAGAAAACCTGCTTGAGAACAAAGAAGCCAACTAGGAGAGCAGAGCTAAGACACAAAGACAGACAAATGACTGACCAAACTGTTTAAGCATCTGGATCCAGCCCTGCCTGACACCAAATTTACTTCTACATCTTTTAGTTTGATAAGATAAGAGTTTCCTTGTTTTGTTTAAGCTGACGTAAGTGGGTTCCTGTGATTTTTCTGAAAGCTGGGACTTCACGCCAAATGATGACAGCACATCACAGGTAAAGCAGTTCTGTGTGGCAGAGAACAGGGGCATCCCGGGGCATGGCTGGCAAGAGGAAGCCACAACAAAGAGCCCCCTTTGAGCACTCCCCACAAATGGCTCAAGAGCGAGGCCAGGAGGCACAGACAGAAGAGTCACCCAGCTTGGTGGTGCTGCCACTTCTGGGCTCTGGAGATGAGCCTGAGGGGTGGGCTGTGGATGGAGAGGTGCTGGCATGCAGGTCTGTTTGCATACGAGGCCCAGGCGTGCCAAGGAAGGGAGGGGTCCAGCACAGCCCCGGCTCGAGCAGAAGGACACGAAGAGGAGCCTTAACTGACCAGTCTCTCCTCTCCTCTCAGCCAGTGGCTGTCCCATCTCCTCCTTGCTCAAGGACATCAAAACAAGTTTGAGGAAGGAAAATCACTCTTGAGCACCTACTGCGTGGAGAAGGTTCCATGCTGTAGATGCTATCAACCTCCCGACTACAAAGGAACTGACTGCAGACTGACACTTTAAGTGACATGCCTGAGTTCACATACGTACTAGGAGTAGGTCTGTGTGATGGTAAGCCCACACCCTTTTGAGCCCTGGCTAACAGGGCTGAAAAAAGAGACCCATGAAGCTCCAGGGAGAAGCTTCTGGAGTTTCTTGGCTTCTGGGTTAGCCAAGGCTGGCAGGAGAAGATATTCTCCAGTTGGCATGAGGATGGCATTTGGAGAGCCTGTGCCACAGGAGAGGTCATGGCTGCAAGCCTGACCCTGTTCAGTGGTGGAATCTTGGGGCCTGACATGTCCCACGACAGAAGAACAAAGAGCAAAGAAAAGGAAGTATGTCCTTGGCCAGTAAACCTCGGGTCCCAACCTAAGCAGTGCAGAAAGTTCACTGGTCTTCACCCAAAACAGTCCCTGGAGGACAAGGTCTTCTATTCCAGTGCCAGAAAATAAGGGTCCTTCAGGAACTAACATTGAGAGCAGTTCTGTTTTTATTTTTTATTTTCTCCTTCCTAGACGCAGGTGGAAGGGAGAACTCCAGTGGCCAAGGGGAGGCCACTTCAGGTCATTGCTAGCACCAGGCAAGGGCCTCAAGCCCAGACTCCTGGGTACGCCACCCATGATGTTTCACAAGAACACTGGGCACCAGCCACACCCAAGGAGTCCTGGAGAGCGGTTTCCTGCAGCTCAGACTCCTCTTCCTCCAGCACACAGGAGGTCAGGAAATGTCTACAGAGGGAAGGTGGGGGCAAGAGAGGTGAGAGACAGCCAGTGGGCCCTGCCTCCTGCACCTGCCTGGACAGCCACCCCCACCCCAACAGCCAGGAGTGGCTGGCGCCTCACCGCAGCAGCCCCACCATCATTCCTCCCGCTGTCACAGACTCAGGGCCTCCAAAAGTGGCAGGACTCGCCCTGGACTCAGTCTATTGACAGAAGCAACAGCAGGGAAGGAAAAACCAGAGCCGGGAAAAATGCACTTAGGGTCTAATCTTGGGCTCTGACAATGCCGGTCTATTACCGTTCCCTGTGCATCCTTAGTGCTGACATTTTATAGACAATTTCCAAAACAGGGCCCTGCCATTTCTGGATTATATTTCAGCTGTAACTTTTAAGTCTAATTATTTGCGCTGACAACCCCCTATAATAGGGCGGTGCGGCGCCTAGAGGCATCAGCATTCAGCAGAGTGACAGCCTAATCGCAGGGGGAGGCAGCCCCGCAATCGGCATTCACTCGCGGAAATTTCTCTGATGAAAATAACACAACATTAAGGAGGGGATAAGGGGCAGGATCCACTGTATCAAGATAAAATAACTCTTTAATAAATAACCTTGTGGCTGCCGCAGAGCAGTAATTAAATGCCGGCGCACTCAGCACACAGTTTTAAGTAAAGCTGGAAAAATGTAAGATGTAATTATCAGCGCCAAACAAATTACCAGCCCGGCAAATCCCCCCAGAATATTTAGGATCTCATTTCTGCCTTCCCGTTAAATATTTGTGTACATGCTTATTTTTGGTGGGGCCAGGGAGGGGGAGAAAGAGAAAGGACAAGGGACCAGGAGAGTAGGGGAGGAGGCACAGGGGGTGGCGGCTGTGGGCTGGGCTGTCTCTGCTGATGCCTGTTTCCTGAACGCCCCTGCAGATCCGCCCGGTCAGCAAAATGGTGTAACCGAAATGCCCCAGAGCTCAGGAGAGCATATGGAGAGATGCTCAGGGCTGATATCTGAGCCGAGGCCTCAGCCCTCCTCCCGACTGGCTCCCTCTCCCTCGTGGAGGAAACTCAAGCCACGGAGATGATGCAGAGGGGACCAGGTGGCCTGGGTCTGCTCCCTGAGGCTCAGCCCAAAGCCCAGTGGACAGGTGAGCCTCCTCCGACCACAGAGACCATGTGACATAAGAGTGACCGCTAGCCCCTGCTGCTGGCCCGACGCTTGGGGATAGGGGCCTGGCCATGAGGGTGGGTCTGAGATCCCAGCCCCTTGTGAGACAGCTCTGGAATGGGCCAGAGTGGAGTCTCCAGGAAGCCCTTCTCAACCTGCGGCTGGGTGGGGGGCTTTTTTGGGCCCCTATGTGGGCCTCGCTAGGTTGCAGCTGGCCGCTCAGTCAGGTGTGAGCTCCTTGGGTCTGAATGCCCAGAGCCCAGCACAGGGCTGAGGAAACGTGAGCTGGCAGGGAGGCTGAGGCAGAGGGACCTGGCGCAGGTGTGCAGATCTTCATCTGGATCCGGCCGAGAGGGAAAAGATAAGAGCGTAGGAGACTTCCTCAGTGAGCCAAGATGACACCATCCACCTGTGCCATGGACACCAAGCTCTGTGAAGCAGATAGGGCTGGCTGCCCATTGAGGCTTGGTAGGGTTTTCAAGGTCAGGCCAGACCCCGCAGGACTTTTGTCCTGTGCTATGGGATCTTATGGGTGGACTCATTCTAGATTCGTCTTTTTCATTTGTCTTCCCAGTGGTTTCAGCTAAGCTCGGGCAAACGTGGAGTTTAGGTGACTGGGGGGCTATGGAAGGTCCCACAGGTAGGCACGAAACACTACAGCTCTTACTGCTCCCCTAACCACTCGAACTCTGCCTGGAACAGACAGCTAGCCTGGCCCAGTACAAAGGTGGGGCGCCGTGTCGTGCCATGCACCACGACCACCCGGCCACCCCAGCAGTGGAGCCCAGCTAAGGGGACATGCAGACATGTGGTGCGTCAGGGACCCAAGCAGCAGAAACATGCAGGGCAGGGGGGTGCTGCCCGCCCACCCCCGGTCCTGCCCGCCTGCCGGCCCAAACAATGGAGAACAGAGCCCGACTGGCGGGCAGGCCTGGCCGGAGCGAGCCCGAGGGAGCTGACTGAGCCCGCTGGTCCCTACTGACGGGAGCATCCCATCGGCGGGCGAACTGTAGATGGATAAGAAGTGAAAAGGACCAACCTTCTCGCTGATCTGAGAGATGAGAGTTTGGGTTGATGGCAGAGTGCGATGAGGATGAGGAGGGAATAAAAAAAAGACAAGGAGAAACACAGAGAGAGTAAAAACAGGCCAACCTTCATCTGCCCACACAGCACAGAAACGAGACAAGACTCTTGTGCCCCACGCACACGCACGTGCACGCAGGTGCGCGCGGACCACGCCGCTCACGAAAGACTCAGGACTCATGGAGGACACAGTGGACAGGGCTGGGTCCCGCCGGCAGGTGCCAGGACGCCAATGGGGGATGGGAAGGGGTGGAAGTGGGGCACAGGCAGCCCCCATACCTCACACGCACCCCATGGCTTGGACAGACCCAGTGAGTTGGGCTTTGGGGTTGGGGCCCACCCAGCCCACAAAACCACCAAGGCAGACGGGCTGCTAGAACCCCACCACCTTGAGGAAGCCCCACACTGCACAGCACTATAGGGTGAGCAGCTGGTCTGGGCACCTGTGGGGAGAAAGGCCATGGTGACATCGCCCTGTTTAGATAGCTGTGGCCCAGGGGCCAGCTCCCTGTAGAGAACGGGGAAGGTTGGGGGCAGGGATGCCAGGCTCTGCGGAGGGCCCCACCCCGGCCCTGGCAGTCGTGCATCCTGAAAGCTGGAGGAGAGAAAAACTGTGGATAGAAGGAGACAGTGAGTCACTCAGGGAGGGAGTCTGATGGTGACGGAGACAGGCTGGTCCACGCAGCATGCCTGGGCCTGCTAGACTGTGGGTGGAGCTGCGGGCAACTGGGAGCAACGTCAGATGTAACTGGATGATGCATCCCCCAACAGCACTCCCGACAGCAGCAGCGGCTACTGACTACGAAGAACTTCCTGCGTGCCTGGTGCCCTGCCAGGAGCTTTACGCACACCGTCCCATTAAATGCAGCCACTGAAGGGTCTCAGAGAAACAGCAGGAGCTATGAGAGTCTGGGGGACAGAGGAGAATGTGAGGCAGACACTGAAGCCAAATCTGAGAAGGGGACGTGCCCTTCGGTTCAGTGGACAGGGTGGAAGAAGAGAGTCAGAGACAGATGGAGATGAATGCCAGTGGGAGGCCATCCATCCAGAGCAATGGTTCTCAACTAGGGGGTACTCCCCCAGGTGACACTGGGCAAGTTCTGGAGACATTTTGGGTTGTCATGACTAGCGAGTGCTACTGGCATCTAGTGGGCCAGGGGTGCTGCTAAACATCCTACAATGCACAGGACAGCCCCACACAACTAAGAGTTATTCGGCCTCAAATGTCACTAGGTTGAGAAACCCTGGGCTACAGTCCACAGGACCCAGAGGCCAAGGCTCAGGTCCTGATAGCTGGAGCCTGGTGGGGGCCTCCCACCAGACTGGAAGGTCACAGCCACCTTCTCTGGAAGGAAGCCTTGCAGTGGCTCTGCTGGAAGACAGGTGAACACAGGCTGGCAGGCAAGCCGGCACTAGGGGGTTTCTCCATGGGTGGCCCACCCTCCAGCAGGGTTCAGGACACAGAGCTGGTGGCCAACACAGCAGAGGCTGTCCCAGAGGAGCTGGGCTGATGGACCCTCAGCACTGCTGGAGGCAGAAAGCAGGGGCTTTGCCAAGACTGAGACGAGGAGGGGTGGGGACACCAGAGGCAAGGGTCCTAGGAGCAGGGCTTTCCAGGTGTCTGCAAGTCCAGAGAGTAAGGCTTGTCCTGAGGCTTTAGAGCAACTCGCTCTCAGCAAAGCAGGGCAGGTGCAGATTGAGGTCGGGTCTGGGCATGGAGACTTAGGACCGGCCCTTAGAGACCAGGGCCCACAGGAACGTGTGTGTGTGACAGAGAGAGGGAGAGACCACCAAAGCCAGGATGGAACAGCCTGTTTTAGGGTTCCTGTCAAGTGGGGCTAGAACTAAAGGAACCTCCACATTCCCTGCCCAGAAGGCTGTGAGAATGAGCCAGGAAGGCCATTCAGGAAGACCTGGTGGGGCTGGGGGATGGTCCATGGCAGGAGCCAGTCAGGGTTCTGCCTGAGCCAACCATGTGTGGACAGGGGGAGCCCCACAGACAGGGAGGCTCCAAGGGGCTGGAGGCAAGAGCTCCCTGGTCAGTGCCTGAGCTGCCAACTACAGCAGCTCAACTCAGCTCCAAAAACCCACTGCCCTGCCTCAGGCTGAGGCCAGCATGGTGACTTCAGAGAACACTGCCCAGCCAAGATGACAATGCAGGGTCCATCCGCCTTGGGTCCGGGCCCTCTCCTGCTTCAGTACGGCCTCCTGCAGCTCTGCCCCAGGAAGTGTACCCACACGACCATGCCAGCTCGGAGTTCACAGTGGCTCCATGGGGCCTCTCCTCTTCCCAGTGCAGACACATGCAGCGAAGGACTTTCCTGCTGAGGCCCAGGACCTCTGCTCTCTCAATCCTATGGTCTTCTGGAAGAAAGGTTGGTCAAGACTGCACAGCATTTGGAATGGTCCAGAGGCAGGTCTTTGAGAAGGGTCGTTCCAGCTGCTCCTCTCTCAGAGGGGACTCGTCAGGCCAGTGTCCCTCTCAGAAGCTCTGCATGGAGCAGTGTGAGGGGAAGGCTGTGCAGTTCACCGTTCTACTCATCTTGGTCATTTGAGTGACTCTCGGGCTTCTGGCCTCCCTGTCCCAATGCTGTTCTTTAAGACACGCCCTGGGTCCCCTTAGGTGAGCCCGACGAGCAGGACACCTGACAAGGGGGGCAGTGGGGACCTCCCATCCCATGGCCCTGACACCAAAGAAGTACTGTCCACTGTCTCTGAGGCACAATTTTCCCGTCACAGAACTGGTGGGCAGCCTGGGGCCTCTCGGGAACCTGTGCCCTGACACAGCACAGTCCCTCAATAAGTACAGAGTTGATGGCTTAATTCTCTTTGCCCTGTCTGATCAAGTGGCCCCAAAGAGTGGGACAGGCCACTGCCATCACCTCACCCTGTGTTTGGCCCTGGGCAGACAGGCAGATGACACCCCTCGCGAAGCTGCACAAAGCATTTAGCACGATGAAATCACTGCTGTAAGGAAGCCGCATCCACTTCCCTTTACAAATCCTGCGAGTGGGCACAGTTTCACTTTTAGTGATGCCCGTACGTGCAGGAGGGCTAAGCAAGGGGATGGCAGGGGGTAGCAGGGGCTCCCAGGCCCCTCCTGAGCACCATCCACACCAGACCCAGTGTGTTCTCAGGAAGGGGCAGGTGGCCAGCTTCAGTCACCCCTGGGCTGTGAGCAGAGCAGAGACTGAACACTCCAAAACAGTCCCCGAGCCCTCTCAGCTGGGTACCTGGACTGGTGAAAATGCATGATCCACTTAGTCCCAGCAAGGAACACCTGAAACACAGTAGATGCTCACCTGTGGGGGCTCTCAGCTGCCTCAGCCTGACCCCCTACACAAGGGTCCTGGCTGGTGACAGAGCACAGACCCTCTATACAAGTGTCCCGACTGGTTCCTCCTCCAGGAAGGCCCCAGGCAGACCTGGCCAGAGGGGGCTCACCTGGCCTGGAACCCACCCTGCTAGAGTGGGCAAGACACACTCAAGGAAGGCCAGGCAGGTGTGCACACGTTTACACACAAATATGCGCCTGCTTGTGCACAAACACACATACACATGCAATGAGAAGTCTGCTCAGAAGGCTCTAGACTCCTGTGGGGCTCCTGGCCCACGTGGCAGGACCTACAAGAGATACAAATGCTCCCAAGGGTAGCTGCTTCCCAAAAGGCCTGCGGGGAAGGAAGGCAGAGGAGTGGCAGACTTTAGGAGCCCGCCCAGTGGGAGCTGTTGCCGCTACTATGGCTGCTGCAGGAAGAGGAGAGAGGAAGAGAGACCAGGCCCGTGGCAGCCCCTCATGTGTGTGTCCACACCAAGGGCTCCAGGCAGCACGCCCGGCAGGGGCAGCTCAGCTCCGTGGAGACAGGGCTGGACATTGCCTGAGTCCTTACCTCGCACATACAGGTTGGCAGGGGCCGAGTAGCGTGTGCCTGCAGAGTTGGTCGCCACACACTCGTACTTGCCTTGGTCCGACTCCTCGCTGCTCTCAATCTGCAAGGCACCTGCAGGGATGCAAAGACAGAGGTCAGGCCTGGAATATGGGGAGAGGGCTCAACAGCAATTGTGGCTTGTGTTGACCAGATGTTGCAGACATCAGGGCCATGCCCCAGTAACAGTGCTGCTTCCCAAAAGCTCTCCCTGGCGAGCCCAGGAGCCTCCTGGCTGGAACCAAGGGTCTCGCTCTGGAGTGCAATCCCACCCCAGCCCACAGTCCAGTCGGGCCTGTCAGCTCAGCCAGGGGCTCTACACCACCCCCAGTCCACTGAGCATCCACCATGTTCCAGCCAGTACTGGAGGCTGTTTGCCAGTGAGCATCCCCATCAGTGCTCCCGGCCCTACGGGCCCCGCCGAGCAGAGCGGAGCCAGGCGTGGGTGGGAGCAGCCTGCAGACCTGCTGGCCAGGGATTCGCAGGCACGCGATGCCCTCATCGCACAAGAACCTGAGAATCTGCCGCCCACCAGAACCCCACAGGACGCAAGGGGCTTGTCCTGGGGGCCTGGTGCCCAGCAACCTCTGCTCATAGCACCCATCCTCCCCTTCACACCCCCACCCCGCCAGCCCCACCCATTCCGGCTCCTCTCCTCAGCCTGGTCCTGCTAAAGTGCTTCGACCCACCACGGCTCCTGCATAATTCAGGAGGCTAATGGAGACTGTAGCTCCCACTCGGGCCACCGCCCTGAGGGGCTGCTCTGGCCGCAGACAGGCAGGAGCCAGGACTGGGTGGGCAGCTGAAAAGGACCCTCACAGAAGATAGAGGAAACTTGGGCTGGTGGCCAGTCCTGGCAGATCCAGGTGGGAGAGCCCAAGGTCGGGGCAGGGGTGAAACCACTTGACTTGGCCATCCCCCGCCATGGCAGTATCCACTTGGAAACACTGCTGGTGAGAACACATGGGGCAAGCTGTCTGACAGGAACAGCCCAAGGCACAGGCAACACCCCCTCCCCGGAACAAGCCAACAGACAATCACACCCACACAGGACGGTCCAACGGACAGTTAATAGCCCCACAGGACACAGCCTGACAGAAAACCACTGCCTGCACAGAACAGCTGGAGTGACCCTAACAGCCCCACCCCTCCCAGGGTTCAGGCAGGCTGACGATCACACCTACACAAGAAACAGACAGAACCTGCCGGACCCCACCTGACTAGACTGGACAGGAGCCACAGGAAGAGTTCCAAGCCACGTTCTCACGGCCCAGGCCCCAGGGAAGGACCACCACCAGTCCGAGCTGCAGCCCCTTCACTGCCTGACATCCCTCTTTCACCACCCAGACCCAGGGCAGCAGGAGGGCCATGAACACCTAGGGGGCCGGGAGGTGGAGCTGGGGGAAAGGGCTGCCCAGGCTCAGCCCCAGTGCAGAAAGACAAGGGGCTGGCCTGCTCTATGGTCCTGGCCTCAGCCCTCCCCACTGGGTATCAGGGAACGTGAGGGCCTGGGCACATGACAAATACCCAACTCCTGAGAGAACAGCCCTGACAGGCACCCAACAGGCCATGTTTATGGGATGGATGAAGGTTGTTACAGAAAACGTTCACTCAAGCAGTGAGGGTCAGGCTCCTCGCTGGGTGGGGGCTGCACTAAGGTCAGCTCGGCTTGGGGGTGAGGGGAGATTGGTGCCACAGACGGGAGTAGGAAGTAGTGCCTGGGTGGGATCCCTGCTGGGGGAGGAAGCTCCCCGGAGAAAGAGCTAGGACTGATCAGGGGACCCAAGGTAGACCCTGAGGCTATTTGCACACAGAAACCCCCCTATGGAGAACCAACACCAAGGCCTAGCAGCAGGGCCATGAAGAGTCAGTGTGGGCTGAGAGGATGGGTGGGGGATCTGGAGGATGAGTCCTATCCTCAGGGGGTGATGGACAAGATGCCCCACAGGGAGGCAGCTGCTCCTCCCAGCCTCAGTTTCCATCCTGAGACCACCCTGGCCCTGACCTCTGAGGGTCTAGATGTGCCCAAGGACACTGAGAGAAGTGGAGAGAAAAATGACGTGAATAAAAACTGTACAGAAGCAACCATTTTATAGGGTATCTGCTCTGTGCCAGACGCTGCCCACATCCTTGCCCTCTCCTCTAGTCCTCGTGATCCCACGAGGTGGGGCCCTAGCCCAAATTTAAAGAGGAAACAGACTTCTGAGAGATGATCGATTTTTTGAAGGTCATGCAGGTGGTGAGTCACACTTGAACCCTGATCTCTGTTTGACCCCCAAGCTGCAGGGCCATGCTGCACAAACGCAGCCGGAGGCTGACAAGTCAGGTAATCTAGTTACGCAGGACCCTGTTGGTTTCTCCGTTGTCATCCCAGCATCTACACTAAAGTTTTAACTGCATGTCCTCCGAGTGTTTGCTGGGCTGAGAATTTACAGGATGATCCTCATTCTACCATCAGTCAGAATGTTAAGGGAAGTCAAGCAATACTTGAGGGCCCCAAGACAAAGGAGCTTCTCGAGAGGAAAGGCAGGGCTTGGTCATGCTCCCCCACCTCATGGGAAGACTCTCCACCTGTGGTCAGCCTTGGGGACCAGGGCGTGGCTCCGCTGCAGGAGCCAAAAGGGTCCCGTCTGTGGGGCTGGCCTAGAAGGCCTGGGCAGTAGGGCTTGCCACCCCCAAGGCGGGGCTCAGCCAAGAATCTCCACAATTCAGACTTGCAATGGATGAGTCCACAGGAGGGAATGACTGAGAGTGGATGTGTGTGGTGGCTGGTGGTGTTGAGGGGGCCGGAGCTGGAGATGAGGAGCTGGAGAGGTCAAGATGGGGATGGGGGAGGTGACGGACTGGACGGGATGGAGTGGTGGTGACGGCAGTGGTGTGGCGTGGCGTGGCGAGATGCACGGACAGCATTCTTACCTCTGATTGGTGAACCACCTGGCGAGGTAATTTGAATGCAAATAAGATCAGAGAGAAGCATTAGTACAAAAGGAAGGAAAGCCACAAAAAGCCAAATCAGATAAAATAAAACACAAGAAAGGGCCTTAAATACTTGGAGTTAGGCCTATGCTGGAGATGTGTGCATAAGTGCCAGGCTGAGCATGGGTGAAGCTATGTCCCCCAGGTCACTGGCACTGTTCTGAGGAGGGGGGGAGTAGGGCGGGGTCAGCAGGGCTGGGGGAGCTGGGAATCAGGAAGGTGGAGTCAGGGCTCCTGCAGACTCAGCTGCCTGGGGCCAATGGAGTGGGGAGCTGAATAAAAGAGGTGGCAACCCCACCCTGCAGGGCCACAGAAATTCCACAGGCGGGTAGGATTTCAAAACAAAACACTTACCAAAACAAACCAGGGCAGTTAAGCAGACAGAAGAAAGGGCTAAAGGGAGGGCTGGTCATAGGCTACCAACAGACCAGGCCTCCCTCAAACAAACCCACCAGACCAGCCCCACTGTGGGATCAGGTTGAATTCACAACCCAGTGGCAGACTCCTTGTAAAGCCGGCTCAACCCTAACCCGCCTGGCGAGAGCCAAAGGCCAGTGTCCACCCATTGCCTGACCAGTGCCTCATAACCTGCGGATCAGCAGCTGAGAGGGCCAGATGCTCACCCTCCAAATGCCTGGTGCAGGGCTATTATGAGGCTATTACAGGTGCTCTTCCCATCAGGAGCCTCCTCAGAGGCTGTCCTCAGGCCCCATCTCCCACCACTGCCTCATGCAGAGGAGCGAGGAGCCGGTGGGTAGGCCCAGGCCCAGAGCTAACTACCCTGCCCCTCTCTGCCCACTTCTGGAGGAGGGAAGTGTGCCAAGACACAAATCCTGATCACTATCACATTGAACTGACAACACCTGCCTAGAAGTAATTGTCCATCTCCACATAAGAATGAGGAAACAGAGGCTGAGGAACATTAAGTGACTTGCCCAAAGTCCAAGGTCACAGCTTGTACGTGAGGTGGCAGGAACTACCCAGGTCTGGCTCACAGCCTTCCCTCTGGACTAGGCTGCCTCCTGCAGACAAAGAAGCTGGAGGGAAGGCAAAGGCGGCTGCTGGCCCTGGGCGGTGTGTATGAGGGGCGCAGAGAGACGCCTGGGAAGAAGCATTTCACAGTGACGCTGCAAGCATGGTCCAAGGACCTGTAGCATCGCTGAGATCCTTTCAGGGGGTCCACAAGGTCAGAGCTATTTCCATAACACTAAGAAGTCATCTGCCTTTTTCACTCTTGTTCTCTCATGAAAATCCAGTTGGGTCTTCCAGAGGCTCCATGTTGTGGAGCAGAAGCAGATACGCAATTCTAGCTATCTCCTATTAAACCCAAATTAAAGAGACGTGTAAGAGTGTAAAACAATGTCACTCTTCTCACTGATGTTGTTTTAGAAAATATAATTCTTTTTCATTAAAATAAAGTTATTTATGTTAACATGTAGTAAGTATTTTAATTATTTTTAAGTGGATTAGTAAAATATTTAAAATCTTCTCAGTCTTCACATCTAACACGGTAAATATTGATAGATAAACCCCACACAAACACAAGCTCTCTCAAGTCCTCTGCTATTTATAGGCAGAGGTCCTGAGACCAACATGGTGACAAGTGCTGACCTACTCCTACAGCCCAGGCCTGACCTGGGAGGAGACGGCAGTGTCAATGGTGCAGGTCTGGGACTCCTAGCTTCTGGCCTCCGCTCTTCCAAAACTTCACCTGCTGTGTGACAAGTCTCGGCACCTCTCAGAACAGTCATCTCCCCATCAGACTGAAAGAAGAATTACCTTTTCCGTGTTACAAGGTGGGTGTGGAGGACTGGAGAGGACTCAGGAGTCTGTGCTGTTCCTAAAATGTACGCTCAGGCCAAAGGGGAAACTGTGGCCACGCACTGACAGCAGACCCGGCTGATGGTGGCGCAGAGTCAGAGGGACAGGCTCTTCCATCTTCCAGTCAGGGCTGGGGCCAGCCGACAGAGGCAGGGGCTGCCAGCCTCAGGACCACCCCAGGGACTGCTCTGCACTTCCCTCCAGGTCCCATCTGCTGGGGCCAGCAGGCCGTCTCCAGCATCTCTGCTTGAGGCCCTGCGGTCTCGGCTCAAGTGTCAGGGGTATGGCAGGAGACCACGCACTGGGCGACCATGTGGACACAGTGCATTAGGTTGTCCTCGATGGTGACAGGGATGGCAGCTCGCACCCTTGGGCTACTGAGATAAGCTGAGCACAGGAGGCCTCCTCAGTGCCCTGTGCAGGCTTGGCAGAGCATGTGAACAACAGCTCCTCTGGAGCCCAGCAGCGGCTCTGAGCACCACTTGGAGGTCAGTCCCCACTCGCTGCTCCAGGGACACTGCCTGCTCTTGACTCGATTTCCACTCTCCCTGAGCTTGTCCCTATTCCTCTGGGGCCCACTTTGGGTCTCAAGTTCAAATTTTCCAAGAGGCTCCTGCTGTGGCAGCCTGTCACGTTGTTTGAGTGAGGAAAGCGCCTGCGGAGCTGAGCTCACGCCTCGGCAGTGCACGCGCCGGCTGTCCTCCTAGCCAGCTCCTGCTCCAGGGCCATGCCTGGTGACGTGAGCTGCGGCTCGGGCCACAGATGCCTGAGGAGTTCTGGTGCCAGTCAGGGATGGCCTGAGGTCTGGAAACGATGGGACTAGGGAGCCCTGGAGCCAGTGCAGGGTCCAGCCATCCCCCAGGTTCAGCAGATGTGACACTAGAAGGCCCCTAGGTGACCTCACAGGGGAGCTCCCCAGCCCAGGATCTCCACATGTGACCCCAAGTGACTCAGCTGTAAAGTGGGCATGATAATCACAGCCTGTCCTACTTCTCAAGGTTGCAGCAGAATCGAGTGCAACCAGATGCAGGAGGGCACTTTGTAAACCGTCGGTGATGCGGAAACCGTGAAGGTCCTCAGAAACAGCCGAGCGCTCGGGGCCAGACTCCACTCCAACAGGGACGTCACTGTCAAGGTGCACGGAACAGCCCTGGCACCGTTCTAAGTGGTAATAGCAAAGGGGCAGCAGCTATTGGGGTCCAGGGTCAGGGGCCAGAGTCAGGCAGTGACGGGGAGGGAGTCCTTTCTGTTACTGCAGAGGTGGCATGATTGAGGTCCTTCAGGTGCCATCTGTCTCCACCCCAGGAGCTGGACGCTGGGCCCACAACCCTCAGGTCACAGCTTCCAGCGGCAGGAAAAGTCAAACAAGGAGGTCTTCCGTGGACTTGGGAAGCAAGCAGGGGTAGACATTAGTCTACAGGGACAAGGCCCAAAGGTCACATTCATGAAGTCATTCATCAACAAGGGCTCAGAGAACCTGTCCTACAGCTGGGGTTGGGCTGGGCACTGGGGGGACCTCACACAGGAGGGTCAGACCCAGGCCCTCCCTGTAAGGAGTACCCAGCCTAAGTAAGTAGAACTGGAGCCAGACGGTGACAATGTGACGTGGCATGAATTGTGAGGAGTAGGCCTTACTTAGGCAGAGAAGGGGAGGTTTCATGTTCTGGTGTATGTGAGCGGAGGGCCACCAGAGGGTCAGGTGGCTCAGGGCAGTGGGGAGCAGCCAGAGGTAAGAAGAGCCCTGTTCACGGAGCCCTCGCCACAGCCAGGTCGTAAACTAAAGCTTTGACTGCCGTTCTCTCAGTCCTTACTGTAGCTCCTTTTTAAAGAGGATAAAACTGAAGCTCAAAGACGTTAAATCACTTAAGCGAGGCCTCAGAGCCAATAAGGGGTACAGCCGGGACCTGATGAGATAAAGGTGGAGGCGTGAGCAGGGGAAGAGGGAGAAGGGTTCTGTGAGCCGTGTTCAGGAGCATGCGCCTGACCATGCGGGCAGTGAGGCTGTCAGAGCACAGGGGGACACAGCAAAAACCTCCGACAGCCGCTGCAGGGTGGATTCAAGGGAGAGCCTGGGGGCAGGGGGAGCAGAGTTTGGTGACGGATATGGCCAAAGCAGCGGAAGGAGAGAAGGAGACCAACTTGAGAGCAGTGTGGTGACAAATCAAGGGGTCTTGGTGCTTCCTTATTGGAGCAGGAGTTGGAGAGTGTCCCAGGATTCAAGTTGGGGAGACTGCCACTCACAGAGACAGGGTCAGTGGGAGAAGGACAGGCTGTGTGGGAAGGAGGTCCCCACTCATCAAGGTGAGGGTGACACCCAGAAGGCAGACAGATTTCTTAGTCTAGAGCTCAGGCAAGATGTTTGGGTTGGAGAGACAGAACCGGGAGCTGCAAGCGTGGAGAGGGCACCTGAAGCTGTCAGAGTGGGTGAGCTGGCCTGGGGAAAGGCTCCGACCATGGGGCAAGGGCAGGGGGTGAGGGCAGGGCTCACAGGCTCCCTGGCTGGAGGGACAGGCAAAAGAAGAAGCAGCTGAGGGCAGAAGGAGAAGTAAGAGGGGAGCCCGGGAGATGAGGAGGGAGTGGTGGGAAAGGAGGGAGGGTGTCAGCTGCTGCTGAGAGGACGAGGAGGCCGAGGCCTGAGCAGCAGCCAGTGGAGTACCGGGCGGGAGCCAACTCACAGGGCAGTGAATGGGCGGCACAGGGCCTGGCACACAGCAAGCCTACATAAATACTTGATGAATGAACGCACAAGACAGTGTGCCTTCCCAGAACTGCAGCCACGGACAGTCAGTGCCGTTCGGGGTGGAGGCCAGGCCTACAGGGGTGGCCATCTGGCGGCTTGGGGAGCCTGCCTGGGGGACTGTGGGAAACACAGAGGAGCCGAACCATGCCGGCCGCTGGGCAGCGCCGGGCAGCGCTGCAAACGCTGCCGGACCGTTTCCTGCCTTGATTATGGCTGTTTTAATTAACTGCGCTACAGCTGCCTCCATCTTGTTGAGTTTTAATTAAATTAAATGAGCTAACACTTCGTAGGCTGTCTCAGGCGGCTGTGGCTGGGGCCAGAATCCTGCCCCTGCTGGGTGGCTCATCTCTCCCGTGTCCCCTGGGTACCGAGGGGCATCCACCAGGCGGGAGTTGGTGAGGAGGGGCTGACACCCCAGGGAAGTGGCAGAGGCGCCTCTGAAGCCTGCAGGGCCCTGAGAGGGCAGAGTCATGTCCTCCTTTGCAGTGTGGACATCACAGCTGATGGGCAGCAGCAGCCCTGGCCGTTCTGCCTGAGCCCACCATCTCACAGCTAGCAGGAAGGCTTCTGGACCAAGGTGTATGGGTCCAGCCTGTGCTGGCGGCAGATGAAGAGTGTAGCTAAGCTGATTCTGAGCCTCCTTCCCCGCCTGCTCTGTTCCCATAAAAACTGAATCAATTATCCTGGCGGGAGTCCCACAGGCAGATCGATCAACAGGGTGACACCTCCCGCCTGGTCATGACAGGATCCTCACTCCTGGAGCTCCAAGCTGGCTCAACTGAGACATCCAGAGGAGACAGGTGGCCCTGGTGGCCAAGGGACAGTAGCAAGTCCCCCTAGCTCCAAGCCTCCGAGGTCCGGCCTTTTGAAGCCTGATGAATCAGGCATCTTGGGCCTCTTTCCCTGCTGTCTGGAAAAGCAAAGAGAAGCATCATCCAGGCCCCCTCTCAGGCCAGGCTACAGGAAGAGGGAGGATAAACACGCACAGAGCAACCTCACAGAGCACAACACCAGGCTGGGCATGACACTCGTGCTGCAAGGAGCAGGGCTGGCCCGAAGTCTGGAGTCTGACGATCTGGGAAGGTAAAAGAATTGCCAATGACGAGCCCTCGCTGCCAAGTTCTCTTCCTCTCGGGCCAGGTGGGCCTATAGCAAGATCTGACCCAGCCACTGGGTGCCCTCTGCTCAGCCCTGGAGGGTCAGCCCCAGGCACCCAGGCCCAAGCGGTAAGGCTGTGCTGGGGTCTGGCTGGACATCTTTCCTGAAGTCTGCCTGGCCCCTTGACCTTTGCTCTCTGCTCACCTGAACGCAGCTGCTTAATGCGGCCGTTGCTTGTGGCGGGGTCCACCGGGAGGAAGTCCTTGAACCAAGAGATCTCAGGATCTGGATTCCCGCCTGCTGCGCACAACATGGTGGCCGTGCGTGCCTTCTCCACCACCTTCAGCTGCGGCCCCATGTCGATGGAGGGGAAACCAGGGGGCAGCTGTTCCTCTGCAGACAAAGAGCAGATGTGCACATTAGGGCTGGCACTGCCTGCCTGCTAGGACCCCCCGCTGAGGGCAGCATCCACTGACTCCCAGATTGGCTGGGACCCTCAAGTCTTCTCTCCCTGATCCCTGACTTCTAAGCATGAAGCTGCCCTGATGTGAGGAACCAGAGTCCTGAGTCCCACTGCCCAGGCCAGCCCTTCAGAAGGCTGGGGGGCTGCAGCAGGGCCCACCCTGCCCTGTCAGGGAGTGTCCAGGTCTGAGAAGGAACACTTCAGACTGAAGATATCAGCACTTATCTTGCTGGGGAAAATGAGAATTGATACCCTGCTGGCCATAGCAGAAAGTGCCACACAGATGCTGGGCTGTGGGGGGCCCAGAGCTCATGCGGCAGCATCTACAGCCACAACTCAGCTCGAAGGTCCCCATGCTGTCCAGCCCCCACTCCCTCGTCTGCACATGCAGTGTCCCCTCCACTGCCTGCATCCAGCCTTCAGCTCCATCACATGGCAGAGTCCACGTCATAGCCTGGGTTCCAGCCCTGACTCTGGGTGCCTCCTGCCCTGCCAACGACCCACTCTCAACCTCCAGCCATGACCCTGGCCCATATTCTACTACAGCCCTGACCCTGACCCTTCTCCCTCACTCAGTCCTGACCCTGGAGGCCACAGTCAGGTCTGGGGACCATGTCTGAACCATGTGGAGGCTAATGAGATAAAAATGCTCCATGAGGACACCAAAAGCTGATGAGGGGAGGCAAAATTCCTCCCTGGCTGCCTTCTCCCAGCTCGTAGAGGAGTTACTTCCACGGGAGCAACCGGAACAGATGTCCACAGCACACCCCACTCCCACCCCACATGGACTCCTGTGTCAGCCCTGAGCGGCTGGGGTGGCAAGGCTGCCCACTCCCCACCTTGGAGGACCAGGGGCTGGGAGCACAGGCTCTGGACTAACAGGCAGACCTAGTGGGGCTCCCACCTCCCCCACTAACTAGCTCTGTGACCTGGGTGTATTACTAACCCTCTCCGTGTCTCCGTGTTTATCTGCAAACAGGGTTCAAGTGTCCACCTTGTAAAGCCACTGTGAGCACCACATCTGCCAATGTGCGTGAGGTGCTGGGGAGCGTCTAACAAAGAACTTACACCCAATGAATGTGAGCTGATGATATTATTATAGCCAGCAAGGGCCGAGCCACTGGGGCAGACAGGTACCAAGACTAGGGCCTGGGACCCCCTTTCCCGTCCTGGGCTGGGGAGAGACCCTCCCCACAGGAGCAAACTCCAGTGTATGTGTGAGAACTCGGCAGAGCCTCTCCACCAATGTGGACGCCAGGTGCACCCAATGGGGAAGGGGAACTCTGTCAGTCTCCTGGCCAGGGAACAGGGCTCCATGGTGGGGGGCACCTGGAGACTAGCACCGGTCCGACCAGCCTCCCACAGATCCAGCACAAAATAAGCGTGTGGGGACATCTGCTGAGGTCAGGCTCCTGTGCCAGGGAAAAGGCAAGTGGCATGCTCAGAAGAAAGTAAACGCTGCCAGGGCTGTCCTCCCTGGAGATTCTCAGAGACCCAGGGGTGCTGACTGGGCGGGGGGGGGCGGAGCAGGCAGGAGAGGAAGCTGGAGGAGCCCCAGCAGGCAAGGGCAAGACATCCCTCTATATGCTGCCAAACCCCGGGGGGCCTCTGCCAAGGTTCCAGCTGTCTGAAGCATCCCAAAGGGACTGTGGCCCCTTCAGAGGAGGGGGTCTCAGGCTAGGGAGCAGTAGGATTCCCAGCATGGCCTCGCCTCCCCAGCCTCTCCTGGTAGCGGCTTCCCCACGTGCAGCCCTATAAATTCCAGATGTGAACCCAGCATCTCCTTGGTTGTAAATATGATCCCACAGCATCCCGACTTTCAGCTCTGATTTTTAAAAGGAAAATGTCAAACAGTGGCAAGAAAAGGGAGGATGGAAATGAAGTGGGACTTGGGATGCACCAAGCAGGGGAACAGCTTCCCTTGGCTCTGCTGCCACCTGCTTTCACAGGAAGGCCCAGGCAGGGCTCCCCTTCCACACTCCCTGCCCTCCCCCACAGCTGGGGGACACTCAGGATGGCTAGGACCATCTCAGCCCACCAGGGCACCAGCTGAGTTCGTCCCTGACTTCAATCCTACGTGCTCAGCCCTCCTGGGCAATGGAGGGGGCATGGGGGCAGGCCGTGCCAGAGTTAGGGCCCAGGAGTCAGCAGGCCCCCATCTCTACCCACAAGGCACTGATCAAGAAGGGAAGACACACAAATGTCTGCAGCCCTGTGTCCCGGGAATTTACTCTGAATTCCTAACACAGGGAAGGTCTTTGGGATTTACGCCAAATTAAGGACAATTAATTTTCCTCCCTCAATTATCGCACCCTCAATGGCTCCGTCCTTGGCTCAGATCATCCCTCAGTCATGGCCGCCAGAGCCTAAAACTGGCAATTGTGAAGAGCTGTCCACAAAACAGCGGGACCCAAAGCCAGTCCCTGGTGCCAACTGGGCTTCCAGGCAAAGTTGGAAGGCTGCAGTCCTGTACCTCAGAGCAGAAGCATGTCTCACAGGAGGACTCCAGCCCCTCAGGAGGGACCTGCTGCTGTCTCTGCCTTCTACGCTTACCCTGGGGGCCTCTAGCACATTCAACCGTAGCCACAGACAGCAGCCGGTTACTGATGTCCGCTGTGCGTCTGGCCCAGCTGAGCACTGGGCAAGCTGACATAAACCAACCCATCCTCCAGACCAGCCAATTTATCCCTTTCGCCCCCTAGTACTTGCAGGAGCTGGGTCCACTGTAGCCTGAACCACTCAGGCTAAAAGGCCAGAGCAAATTCCTCAGGCGGCTGTCACAAGATCACTCGAAATCCAACAACAATCACAAAAGAGAGGTCCAGATATGAGGGATGAAAGGTCACGTTCATGGAGCGTTTACTACATTCCAGGTACTGAGTTAAAATGCTTCACAGGGGTGGGCCAGGTGGCTCAGCCATTAAGTGCCCGGGGTTCGCCGGTTCATATACCAGGTGCGGACGTGGCACTGCTTGGCTAGGCGATGCTGTGGTAGGCATCCCACATATAAAGTAGAGGAAGATGGGCACGGATGATAGCTCAGGGCCAGTCTTCTTCAGCAAAAAGAGGAGGATTGGCAGCAGTTGTTAGCTCAGGACTAATCTTCCTCAAAAAAAGGAGAAAAACCCACTTCACAAAATGATTGAATCTCTACCAAAACCCTGAGGTATATGAGCAAACGGGGCTTAGAGAGATCTAGACACCTGCCCAAGGTCACTACATCAGAGGGGGGCTGGGATGAGCCTGGGTGCTAGGACCCCACGCCAGGCAGGGTTGCGCCAGCCCGACTCAGGAGGACTTGGGGCGGGCGGAGGTGAGGGGCGGCCCCAGGGGAGCCACGCCTCCATCCCGCCCCCACACCACGCCTGCCCCTGCCCCCAGCTGGCTTCCAGGGCTCGGCCGCTCCTCCCGCAGACCCCTGCACACAGCCGCAGCGTTTTTATTTACTGCAAAATGAACCAACTGTCCCCCACACGTGGCCACCCGCGGGCACGCACCCCGCGTTCCAACACCCAAATGGACTGGTCACGCCAAGGCTCCTAAAAACCTGTCCTGCCGGCGGAGGGGCTGCAGCGCGGCAGGGAGGAAGGGCCCCTCCCCGCTCCAGGCCACCCGGTAACCATGGCAACGGCGGAGAGGCGGCACCGCGGCGGAAGAGCTGCGCGTGCCTGTGTCCATGCGGGCGCGCATCCGCTGTCCGAGCACTGCCGCCCCACCCCCGCCTGGGTGGAGCCGCTGCCCCCCTCCCAGGACCACGACTCCAGGGAACCCTCCCTCTTAGGCGTCCTTTTCGCTCAGATGACGCATAGCTGGGGGGCGTCCCCAGTGTGCTCAGGACAGTGCGGGAAGGTCCTCTTTCACCCTCCTGGCAGCCTCAGCCTCGGGCATCCATTACTTGTCCCCGCAGGGCAGAAGCCCCTTGATCCTCTGATAAGAGGGTCCCCAGGACAGAAAGAATAGCCCATGGGGGCTTTAGAGGTACCAAGGAGCCTGAGTCTGGACAGCTGTTTGTGGATCACACCTGCATGGACATGTAGGGTGCACACACATTCCTGACGGTCTGCCTGCACAGACCTCTGTACCTGTGGTGGGCGTGCCCCTGTGCGCACATGTGTGTGAATGGTTCCTGCACTGAACTGCACTGATCTTTGCAGATCAGTGAGACTCGACCCTTCCCTGCTGTCCCCACTGGGCAGAGGAAAACCACAGGAGGGGGTGTGTGTGGAGGGGGGGGAGGTTTGGGTTGGGAACCTAAGGCTCAGAGAGGGGCAGGAGTTTGGCTGAGGACCCGAAGCAGCAGTGCAGCTGGATCAGTTCAACTCCACAGCTCACCTGCTATCTTGGTGGCTTCCTGGAGGAGGAGAGGGATACCAGAGTAGGAAATACTGGAGCGTGGGAGGCAGGGGAGCTTTCTGGGAGGAGAGAGGGACTGCCTGGGTAAAGGCGGTGGGAGGGAGGGGGGACAGGAGGAAGATGAGTCTGCTTGGAGCTAAGGCAAGTGATAGATGAGGCTAGGGTAGGAGTGGACAGGGGATCGGCTTAGGCTGGCTGCAATGACTAGGGGAGGGAGGCTGTGGACGCCCCCTACAAAGCACACACAGGTCTCTTTGTCCAGCTCAGCCTGGGACGCCTGAGGCAGAGTCTGGGCCAGAGGGAGGGGGCTGCACCAGGGGAGCCGACAGATGGAGACACCTTGCAGGGTCTGGGGTGGGCAGCACCGTCTGTCAGCATGACCTCCTCACCCGCATTTACCCAGCTTCATGGCGTCTCTGTGCACATGTGGACACACACCAGCACTCACACACACAGGCTCCCTGGGGTAGCCAGGTCTGTAAGCCTGACCCCCGCCCCTGTGGGTGAGTGTTGGGCCTGGCCTCACCCTGTCTCTGAACACAGACACCTAGAAACGTGCACAGCCAGGGACCCACAG